AAAGTCCTCCTTTTGAAGAACGATGTTACGCGATTTTCGTTGGAAAAGAAAAAAAATTAAGCATTAATCGGCTATGTCTTAATCCTGTTTCGAGCGAGATTTATCATTGATCCTGCCGTGATGTATGATGTTCGAGCCTCCGCTCGAAGACATTTGTCTCGTGATTTATCTCCCGTTTCAGGCGTATTGGAAAGCATGGTTGATTTTACGACAATAATTGCACCAGCAAAAATTGAGGTCATAAAGAAACGTTTTTCAAGACGACGGTGACGATTTTCATTAGGTAACGATCGCTTCCGTAGCTATCGCTCGCTTCGATCGATTCGACTGCGTATAGGGAGGGGGAAAACGATCGGCACGAGTGTAAAATAATCCGTCTCAGGATGGCACAAGGTTGCCGACGGCGTCTATTATCGCTACCTTGTAACATATATCTTTTTACGCTCATTAGCGTTCGCGTGTACGGCGAGGTGACGCGCTCCTTCGCCACCTTGCAAACGAAATGGACTATCAGGGGCCATCGATAACGAGGTAATATGCCCTTAGGTGCGGAATGACGGAAAAAGAGAAGAAAGAAACAAAGAGTTAGGAACAGAAAGGGGAAGAGAGGGAAAAAGGAAAGGGAGGGGGAGAGAGAGAGAGAGAGACGCGCTTTGCGAAGCGAGCCTTCCATATCGAGTGTTTCGCGCGGCACGCGTTCTTTCAATTCCGCCGATTAATGAACCAACCTCGCACTACCCCTGTGGCGGTATTAAATTCCGCTCGCGCGTAGCTGGTTTCCTATATGAATCCTTACATAATACAGAAGGAAGAATACGATACGGGAGATACGATCGAGAGGAAAACTCGCGGATTCGCCTGCTATGGTAATACTCGGCTGCGACATTTAAATCGGCGATCTCGAATGAGAAGAAACCGAGTGCGCGTCTGTCGGAGCGAAATGTCAATGTATTATTATTCATGGATTCATGGTCAATGAACAGGGAAAAAGCGCGACAGGATGTTTGTTACGGACATCGTTCCGCGAGCGCTCAGAATGCGACGGTAAGGATATCTTCGTTGCGATGGCCACCGATGCACCGTCGTTTAATGGGGACGTTTACATTAGAGGTGGACAATAACGATGATTACGACGGTGCCATATGCGGCATTGATGTTAACCACTGTTATTAAGCGCTTAATACCGCGCCAGCAATTTTACGGTATTTGACATTTATCCTGTAATCACGCGTTCCCGCTTAACGCGGCCTAATAATCTCGATGAGTAATGGTTTTCTGTTACTTCCTCCTTTTGTAAGCCATCTCGTCCCGAATTCCTTAATAATATCTTATTGATTTACACATTTACTCTTGCCTCGTTAATAAAAAAAAAAATCACCATACTGAAGAAAAAAAATTTAATAACAATAAATTACCAAGATTTGGTTAAATAATTTCAACTAAATTGATTACTGCAATCAAGTCATTTAGTATTATATACTGTATTATAGTAACACGTATAAACAGGAAAAATAGTCTTAAAAAATAGTTTTAAATCAATGACCGATACTCTCATATACATAAACAAGAATATTATAGTATTCTTAGAAGATTATAATATTCTTGCTTATACATGACATATCATTGATTTAAGACTAATTTTTTTCTGTATGTAATATACGATACTAAACGATTTAGTGGCAGTAACCAAACAATTTAGTTGAAACTATTTAATTAAATTTTGGTAATTGTTATCGAATCCTTTTACTGCACTACTCCGGAAAAGGTTAGAACAGTGATCTCGCACGATGACAGCGTAATTATTCGGGATATGACGGAAGTGGGATAGCGTCGCTTTAAAAGATTGGCAACGCGATTAATAAGGATATCGCAAGCTGCGCGTGCATTTTCATAATGCCCGATATATTCAGCGATATCAAACTTAATGCCGTACCTTAATCATACGGACACCAAGGACATTCCCGGGTAAAATTTCTCTGCGCGCACGATATTACTCTTTCCGTCGGCCACCAATGAGAAAGGACGTTTCTCCTCGATCCGTTTTTCTCACACGCGAGAAGAAACTTCTCTTCTCCCGTTAATAAACAAAGCCGCTTTACGCAATCGCAATGTCTGTGTTGCGTTTGATTTTTCGCACGTCACAAAAACAAAGTATCGAGTACAAATTCACGAAGATAAAGTTACTTTTATATTTCCCTTGGGATCTCTCCAGAAATTTTTCTCTTATAATACAGACACGCAAAATACCTCTCTCTCTCTCTCTCCTTTCTTTTCACTTGCTTCATACGTGCAATTTAAGTCGATAATAAATCTCTCTACGCGTCAAGTGCCACCACCTGCAATTTTCAGCGCGAAAAAGAAAATGGATTTGACACCTTTTGGAAACAAGTTTCGCGGATACGAGTTCAAAATCCGTTTCAGAGTATCGCGTTACACACGGGCCCGGCACAGGTGCGGCGCTTCGAGGCTGACCGGTGTATTGGGTTCCACAAGAATTCCTAACGACGCCTCATCTCACTCTCGCGCTACTCTCGTCCGGCTATTCGCGCGGCTCCCTGTCGCCTCTCGCTCTCGCTCTCGACGGTGGACTTTTTTCTTCAAGATATCGACTCGCGCGAAGAAGTATACCTGTCACCTATCGTAATTTCGAACTCGATGATTTCGTCACGAAACTCTTGCCTCGCGATATCCCGCGACTCCTTGGCTACGCCCAGACACAAATCTTGTATCTGACATTTCAGTTTTGACACCGTCCACTCGTCGCAATAATTTTTGCACACCGTCTCCTTCTCGATGAAATATAAAATTTCCGAAAGAATATCGAAAGAGAGAGAGAGAAAGAATATAACGAGCGATCCTTTGCCAGAACAACGCGCATTGTTGCCGAGTTAACGGCGGCCACGATAGATCAATCACACGATCGCACCGTGATTTGTATACGCCGCGTGCTGTTGTGCGCCTAATTTGGCGTGATCAATTACGCTCGCGAGCAGTGACTCCAGACAAATTGAAATAATCTGTACGTACAATTAAAGCCGATGCCGCGCATTAAGTCGCGCGCAGCGGTTCCAACGGGCTAGGGGGGCAATAAGTAGATCGTTAAGAAGATTTAATATCCCACGAGAGCACCGTTCAGCCGAGTTTTTTCTTTTTTAACGCACCACTTCTAGAGTGCCATAAGGCGAGCATTTTTCACGGGGAGGAGGAGCCATAATCGAGCCCGTAAATAAATACACGAATCGTTCGGACACACCGGTTTGCGCCCCACGTGCGCGTATGACTTAGCATGTTATTGGCCCGAGCGGTTCAATTAAATCTTCTTTGTTCGCTCGAGATTGAACGAACGACGCGCCGCAGTACGGCGGGACGCACGAAGAAACACAGTGTTTCATTAGAGTCCGCCGTACCGGTCGGGACCAACGCGCGCGCGCGCCTGAAAAACCGACTCCGGGGACGAAAAAGAACGCGCAAACTCGTTCGGTCTGCGGCGGGCAGTCCTTGGGCGGCGCCCGGCCGCGAAGGTAGGCCACACCGGTGTGAAGTGCACTTGATTTACGTGCGAAAATTGCCAATTAACCGACGCGTAATCGGCATGCGTGGCATACGCCAGGCGACTCCGCTCGAAAAAGTCGCGGAAACGCCGCGCGCGTACTACGGCCCTGTGACGTGCAGCAACGGATGCGCCCGAAGCGCAGCTTCGGGTCGGGCCCGCGGCCCCAACGTGGGCTCCCAGGCGCGTGAACGCGTGGAAAGAAGCGGGAGAGGAACGACGATTTCTTCTTCGCCATCGTCGTCGTCGTCATCATCGTCGTCGAAGGACGGGAACGATGCAAAAACAACGACGGACCGTACGCGCACGCGACGGCGGCGGCGCGCGGAATTCGAGAGCACAACGTTGTGCAACGATCAAACCGGAATGTCGAGGTGCTCCACGCCCCCCGGGAGACGCCGAAATTCTCGTCAATCTTCCTCTCGGAGGAAGGAAGAGTGGGAGCGCAGAAGATGCTTTCGCCTGTTTTGACGTCGCGGCGTTTCAGCCGCGAGCCCTCTCCCCCAAGAACGCGGGGAGGGGGAAATAATCGATAACTCGCGGATCGATCGATAGCGATCCAGGTGGCGACGATGCGAGCTGGGGAGAAAGATTGATCGGTCGCTTGATTGATTACTTGATTTCAGCCCGCAAGCGAGACCCCTCGGGGCGCACAGGAGAGAAATATCGCCGAAGAGAAGGGAGACGAGATGTGTGCAAAAGCGCATCATCGCGATACGTAGCGAACTTCAGCCAGAGTTCGCGATCGAAGGCTCTGCACCGGTAATGTCGAAAGGAACGCAGAGGCTTACATGTGGCGTTCGAGCGCGTCTCTCGGGTCTCGGTTCGGTTGGCGTAACAGTGAAAATAATATGAATACCCGCACGTATTAAGGGATCTACACGCCGGAGTGAAAAGCAATTATGATAATCTCTTAAGAGCGAGATAAAACGTGAGATATCCGCGATGAGTCAACAAGCGAGCTGACCGTACCGCCTCCGGATGGTAATGGGAAAAGCGGAGTTACCCGTAAAGAAAATGTAGAAATCTCGAATGTGCTCGCGCTGCCGAGTCAATTTCGATCGTCGTTGGAAATTGCGGGGCACGACCTCGTACGATACGCGTTGATTCCCTCTTCCTCCTTCCCTACCCCCTCTTTCTCTCTCTCTCTTTCCCGGAGCGATATGTACGTAGGTAGAATTAATCATCAGGCGTGCGATAAAAACAACCCGCGGAATCCTCTTGGATTTCATCGGCGACTAAAAATTGTCCCACTTGAGGCGCGCGCGAGTTTAATGCGCTCGCCGGCACGCAGCCGGGCATGTAGAGTAACGCTCCGCGACGTCAGATAAACGACCCGCGGTCGCGCAGGTGGAGGACATGCGGGCGAGAGTAGAAGTGCAATCGGCACGGCATTATCGCGTTATGCAATCGAACGCGTCACGCGTCGATTTTACCCGTTTGTTTTCAGATCGAAACGACGGCGGTGGCGACGACAGCGGCGGTAGCTGCTGCGAGCAGCCCGCTTTCCTGGCACATCCCAAGGCCGTCCTTGGTCGGGCGCAGCGAGAGAGACAGCGAAAATGGAAGCTGGGCTCATCACTTGCATCCGAACTCCCCCTCGAGAGGGTCGACATCGTCCCAAGGATCCACTGCCAGTACACACGTAAATTCCTCGTCTTGTTTGCACACGACCGCACTCAGAGAAAGAATTAGCTAAGGTCCAGCTGAAGTGGCAACTGAAATGCGTCTTTGAAGTGAGGACAGCTCATGTTGTTCCTACCGTAGCTAAATTTATCAGCTGTGATATAAATTTAGACGCTACCGCGAAAAATATTAGCTAGATCGTATTAAAATCACATTTCCCACTAGAAATGTATTGGTTTTTTTTTTAACGGAAGCTATTCTCAAGATTAGTGTATGCTGATTTTGAAATCTAGTCATTTGCTTAATTTAATGTTACATCGTATTTCAAAAACACACTTAAGTACACAGTAAAAAATGTGTTAAAAACGATCGAGATTTTGGTGTTAATTTAACACGGGGAATATGTTAAAAAGCATGTAAATATATGTTGAATTAACATATTCATCCTGTTAACATATTACTTCTTGACATATTTACCTTGTTGAAGTAACACGAAAATTCGGATGGGCCGTTTGTGCCACGAGATTTTTTACTGTGTACTGATGAACTCAAAACCCGAGACGCCTGAATCGCGAATCACTTTAAGTATTACACGGCTTCGTCGATTGATATCAATGAATTTCGTATTGTTTATATGTATGGTATAATCAGCACGAAGAGTTGTATAACCAATCTTAGCTACTCGTGCTAACAACTTCAGCTGATAGTTGCATCTCGCAGCAAATGCACTTTACCTCTAACAGCGAACTTTCACCAATGAACAACAACAAAGTTCAAACTAGCTGATGAAATTGAATTGCTTCATTTACTAAATCATTTCTCTGAGTACATCTATCGCTCGTTTAACACAAAACTAACACGATTTTAAACTGAAATCAACGCCCGGAGTTTTTTTCAACCGATTTCAAGCCCATAGTGAAAACAACGTGAAAGCCGACTCGAGATCTCGCAGCTAACCCTGAAAACGACCAGTTTCCTTTATCGACGATACTATCCCCGTCGCTTTGCGGACAATTAAAGATTTTACACGCGTAAAATTACGCGTCGTAAATTTGTCCGTCCTCCCCAACATCCGCGCCAGGACGAGTTTAACTTTCCCTAGTTCCTTCGTCGCGTATTCACGAGCGCGTTAAAAGCGTGCTAATGAACGATCGAATGTCTCTCTCGCTTGCAGAGTGCCGCGTCGGGCACGTTGCTGCTGACAGCGGCGAACCTGGCGAATCTCGCCGCCATACACCCGCCCACGGTGACGGCACCAAAGCAGATGGACACCGCGTCGGTGGCCAGCAGCACCCACTTCACGGTCGTGAATGGCCTCGGCAGACCGGCCACCGTCTACAGGAAGTCCTGGTGCGCGCGAAATCAGCTCACCGTGCTCGTATGCACCATGAGCTTTCTGTTCATGGTCGGTCTGTTGGCCGGGATCCTTTACATGGAAAGTAAGTATTTCTCCGCGGCAACAGAGAGCCGGCGCGCGCGCGCGAATTGCCATCCTATTGCCACACATCTGCTGCTCGCCGCGCGGTAGCGGTTTCGACATACCGTAAGCGCGCGCGCGATCTCCGCGGATCTTCGCCATCCTCCACAAGCCTCTCCGGTGTGTTTACCTCTGATTGCAGTGAGGGCTCGTGACAAGTACAACTAGGCCGAGGGTGACGGGAGGAAGCGACGACACGTGACCGTGAATGATGATCATCGTGATAGAGACGGGAGCGGCGAAGAGGCGGAAAGACACGGAGAAGCGCCGCCGTCGCCGCGGGATCGTGCTCTTTTTCCACGAAGAAGCGAGGAGAGGATGCGCGCACGACTCGGTCACGATGTATTAATTCGAGTTACTCCGTATTTATATGTATTACGTACGTCCGCGTTTGGACCGCGTCCGAACCAATTCTCGGTCTCGACGACGCGCTCTCTCGGCGGGCGGTTAGAGTTCTAAGTATTGCTGTATTGCACCGCGACGAAAGTGTGGTACGTGAAAACCAGTAATTACATTTGTGTAATGTACGCGACGTACTGTTAAGTGCCGTTGAGGAGGAGGATTAACGAGATCCTCGCGAACAGGGGAGCCTTGTATATTTATGCTGAAACTAACGGATTCCTCCCGGATCGTACCGCGAGACGCGATCCGACGAATATTGTAACATTCTTCTTCTTCTTTTTTTAACATTGATTAACCCTTTGCCGCGTGTCACACGTGTACGAAAAACAAGCGTCTCTCTCTCTCTCTTTCTCTCTTTCTCACTCTCTCGAAATTCGTTCACCGTTCTGCCCATGTGATTATGACACCTCTCCGCGCACGAAGAGATTTTATTTCACATTACAGGAGAATATATATGTGGGTTTATATACGGGCGGCAGTGATGCACGATGTGGTTCGCGATCGCTCCAAATGAAATATACTCTCGGCGGTTTAAGACGCTTCTGCTATTTAGCTCTCGCCCGATTTATCGTTCGCTGTAAATCGCGTCGACACTACCGTGAGCTAACGAAGAGGAGTGCGGAGAAGCGGAATGTGAGTATGTATGTATGTGTGTGTGTGTGTGTGTGTGTTGTGAGGGTATCGTTTGGGTGTCATCAATCACTGGTCGTCCGTGACGAAAATTCGAATCTGATCGTATTTTGATGAGCAACGAATATATACCGACGGACGGAGTTCGAAGCAATCGACGAAATGAGACCGAGATAGCGTATAACTATTCAGGGCTCGTAAATTAATTCTCATTAACAAATCGCCTTAATTAAACCTGGATTTCCGTCGGAATGTCATTCCAGGGATAAGTGGAATGTAATGAAAAAGCAATGAGGGGCGGTCGCGTCGATCGCTTTTCGCGTCTGTGATATTACTTGCGTATTAATTAATTGTCGATTCAACAAGAAACTGTCAAATGCACTGATCGTTGTTTCATTTAAACCCGACTTCTGCAGCGTATAAATATGATAAATATAATAGTATATATATGGTAGAGGCAAGAAACAGTCATATCAATTAACCCTCGCTGCCCACCTGCTCTCGAAATTCACATAACCTGAGGCGTTTTTGACCCTACCTTACAATTATTCATTTTATATTGAAAAAAGGAGTTTTCAATATACGAATAAAGAGTTTTTAATATATAAACGTTTTTATTGACATCAAAAGTAACAAAAAGTATAAATATCGTTATGAAAATAACTACTCGAAATAATTAATTATCTTCGGATGTTAAGTTGGAACATGCGAAACACAAGTTACGTATTTTGGTATGTTCTTTACATACAAAATTAGTGCACGTATCACAAGTAATGTTTGTTTTCTTATCTAAATAGCGTGGACAAAGTTTACATCTTCCTCGTTTATTTTTCGGGAGATGGACATTCTTGTGCTGCGAAAGTAATTTTCACAATAAAAAAATATCCATAAAAGTTTACGATTGAAAATTGCTGAAAACTAATAGTATAAAGTATGAAAAAAAGCATTTCCTGGCGTTGAAAGGCAAAAAAAATTAAAACAAAAAATACCGCTATTTTTAGGTGCGTGGGATCAAAAAAGATCTCAGGTGGGTAGCGAGTGTTAATTGGTCTACTCTTTTTAGCCAAACTGACTGCACTAGTTCAAAAAATTTACATACACATTGAAGCGTATGAAGCATACACAAGATCTTCCTGTTTCAATGTGTGTAAATTTTATGAGTACATCCAGTTAAGTTAAAGGAACAGACTAAATAATACTATGGTAAGTATCTTAACCTGTTAGCTTTTTCACTTATTGACACATTTTAGTGTCTTAACTGCACCTAACTATTGCGATATTTGTTACTTGAATAAATTCAAGTACAATTAGACTGTTCTATATTCATATAAAAAAAAAAAAAAAAATAGAACAAACTTTATATCTAAAAATATTCATCCGCATTCTTTACAAATATTTTTCAAAATTGTTTTTGTATCGCAAGTATAAATGGTCGTGTGCGGTACATGGAGGTATCTTTCTTTAACATTTCAATCGATGAGTTATTGATTCATATTATATAAAATGTGGTCCAAACGTGCAAATATCACTCACCTCTACTTCCCCAAGAGTCTGCGTCCATCTGTAGTTCGGCATGTCCGCACCATTGCCACTGTTAGGCTTCAGCTTATTCTTTTCTTTCTCATCTTCCTCTTCTTCTTCCGAACCATCTGCCTTCTTACTGTCGTTATTATCTTGATTATTCTTATTACTGTTGCTCGTATCATTACTAGGTCCAGCAACAGCAGCTTCCTTTGCTAATTTCTGTAAAACAAGAGAAACTTTTAATTAGGTATTGCTATGATTGATAATAGGCAATTGTTCAATTATATGTCTATTTCCCATGATGCACAAACCTTGCTGTCTATTTCTTCTTGCAGCTTAACAGCTTGTTCATCCGTTAACTCGACTATTCTAGAATCGTTATCAAGTTTTTCTTCTTCAGCCTTCTCCTCCTTTCTTTTCTTCTCGAGTCTCTCCTTACGCCGTTTCTCTTGCTCAGCTCTCTCAGCTTTATCAGACTCAGCTTTGGCTACAGCAGCAGCTTCATATCTTCTGAATATGCTGAGCAGAAGCTGCACATAAGTGAGCAATTCGACTTAGCTTACACTTTTCTAGAACAATAACCTCAAAATATTCTCGCAACTTTCCATGTTACCTTTTCAGCTGCCCCTTCGCCACCACCAGTAAAAAAGTCTGTTTTTCTCTGCAGGAAGCTGAAGATGGTGTCCAGTAACTGAAAAGAAGCGAGATCAATGAATTATTGAATGATGAAGAGCACATTTCTCATCGTACGAGTTAACCTCAACCGGTAAGAAAAGGAAACTTACATCTTGCACACCACCTTCGTGTTGCTGAGCCATTGCCAACAGCATTCCGTCAAATTGATCTTCTTTCTTCGTCATTGTTTCCCAATATCGTATTAAGTATCACAATTTATTTCGCAGGAACCACTGTCACTAAGGAGATACTAACAAACGCCAGTAAAAACCGCGAGTCTTGCGAGACTTGCACCAACTTGCACTGCTTAAAATTTTTACAGTACGCTGGCGCCCTCTCGCTGATATTACCGACAAAATACTGCCGATAATGATAAAAAATGTAAAAAAACTTCGCGATTCTCTTTCAGGAAAATCGAAATGTTACAGATATAAATATCAATTGTACAAAGACTTCTATGTCGCAAATCCATATTAGAGGCAAATCGCTCGCCACATATCTGATTGATCAGCAAACAAAACATAAAACTTGGAGCATGCAAACTCACGGTCTTTCCCTCGTAGCAATTTGAATTCCCAACCGTCATCATGCGACGAATTCACGGCACATCCTCAGCATTTCCAAAGATCCTTTTCGTTGAAATGAAACGAAGATGCACACACGAAACTTATTTTCCGGCGATGATTCGCGCACGAGTATTTCTTCGGTTAGTCGAGGGTGTAAAACGCGATTCGACCGCCAACTGCCATAAGTAACAAACGCAACTTTGTTCGTGTCGCATTCTTCACTACGGGTCTCAAGTCCGTATCAGATTACAGATATTTACCATTATATTTACTACCAGACCGCACTTATGTTTGATAATTATAAAAAAAAATGTAAAATACTATTTATGCAATTGTTATACATTAAGCCCATATCAGAATACGGATTGGGGATTGAGACTGAATTAGATTTGGCCAATCGGTACAAAGTTAATTGAATTCAAGTTTAGTGAAATTTAGTGAACTTTGCACTGATTGGTCAAATTTCAATTCAGTCTCAATCTCCAATCCGTAGTCTGATACGGGCTTTAGACAACTCTCCCCTATATTTCGTAATGCCTGTATCAGACTACGAATTAGGATTGATAATTACAATTTGGCCAATCAGAGCAAGACTCACTAAACTTAAGTTTCTCGAGTGCGACAAATATAAACCAGATATCTGTAACATCGAGACAACAAGGCCAATTTCAACAAAAAGATACAAATACTGATAGCATAAATACCTAAAGCAAGCAAGAAACACGAATAGGTCGATTGTACGGTTATAAGTATCAGTTAAAGATATTAATGTTATTCTTGTTTCGTGGAGTTTCCTCCCATAAATATTTTTTTCACTTATGCATGGAAATAAAAAAAGCTGCAAAGTTTGATGATTTAGTGTTTAAATATATCCAAGGTGATAAAAAGATATATCGCCTTCTGCAGGCTAAACATAAGTCAAATGAACTTAAAAAAGTCACATCAGATAGTTTATATAGAGGTGATTACAGTTTAATACAGTATTTCTTTTTTTATCAAAATTGCAAAAAAGGGGAGTTATTTAAAGATGGTTCAATCAAAGAGATTATTATTTATACTAATATTGATTTTGATTTTGAACGTTTGAAAAGGGCACAAATTGGAGTTGAGAGAATGGAAAATAAGGATGATATTGTAGACTTTAACATCATAATTTAGTGCTTCTTAAATATTTAATATTAAGTACTTTGTACAAACTAAAATGATAGGATAATTTCAATATATCCCACTTGATTTTATTGGGAATAATCATAGAGTACTAACATTATCGACTATTTCGATTATTATCCTGCAATATAAATACGTGGACAATAATTTTGTCTTATAATTTAATATAGTGTGTACCAATCTTTTCTTTATTACTTGATAAAATCTCGCCGATGGTGATATATGATGAATTCAAGTTGAAAGATAATATATACACGAGCAGGAAGAAGTATATACAAATGCGATAGGCCTTTATTCAAACACGATCTTCACCAATGCTCGAAAAAAATCACAAATTGGAATTCGGAGCTATGGAGCTCAAGTATTTGTTGAAAGCCGCGTAGAGTTGTCCGGCTCTTTGAACTTCCTCGGCGCTGTAAACGACATGGTAATTAATCGTCTATTCAGATCGATGCAGATAATCGGTGCGATAAAATATACATCAGAGACATACTACTCTTCATCTGGTTTTATTTGAAGATGAAACAATCGTGTAGGAATAATGTTAAATTAGCGAGCTTACCGTAATTCCGAGAGATTACGCTCCTTGCTTGAGATAATGTCTTGAAATTGTTTCCTCTCTTTTTCCCTCTCGCGCAAAATTTCAGCATGAATATCTCGAACTTCATTCAATTGCGTGTTCAGTATAGCGATCTGTTGATGCATCTTTTCCATTTGGAGATTTTGGTCCTTCAGTCTGGCGCTCTCCTCGTGAAGTTCTCGTTTTAACCTCTCGTTCGTCTGCTTTTCCAACTCGAGCTCCTCCTTGAGCAGATTTTCACGTCTTTGTGGTTCGATCAGCTCGCTTTGAAGATTTGCGATTTGGCGCTTCAAAGAGGACCCAATTTTCTGGGAATCAACTAATTTCTCCTCCAACACGTTCTTTTCCTCTTCTATCTTCCGGTAGTTTCCCTCCAAATTCGTGTACCTTTATTTAAAATAAGTTAACATTTCATTTCTTGTCGAGAGAACATTTTTTCGTTTATCTCGGCTGATAAGTGAATATCAGTCGTAATGTTTTCGCATTAAATCTTTTTTAGAAGAGACACTTTTCATATAAAAAAGTAAAGACAGAAATTAGTTAATTAATTACTAGTAACCTGAGAATCCTGCATTCCGCGTCGTCCAACTTAGCCTTTAAAAGAGCCTGACTTTTGGACAAATCGCGCGAATCTCTTCTGTTCTTTTGCAGCTCAAGCTGACAATCTTCTAGGGCCTGCGTAGTCTCCTTGAGCGTGGTCTTCAAGAGATTCTGCTCGATTTTGTGCTTGTTATCGCGCTCCCTCGATTCTCTTCTCAGACGGTGGATCTCAGTCTTGGTCTTTGATAACAGGTCTTCGTACGCCCGTGTGGCAGAGACGAGCTTGTCTCTCATTAGATCGATTTTCACCGAGCCTCTGTGAATCTCTGTTTCGTATCGTCGAACCTGTCGCGAGAGGATACAAGAAGATGAAATTAAAATTCACTCGAGAAGTTCGCCCGACGATCGATCGACGCGGTTTTATTTTTCTTTTCTATCTCGGAAAAAAACGAGACAAATTCGGAACAACCGATTTTACTTTGGACTCCGCCTCCTTTTTATTCCGCGAGCACTCGTTGAAGTTGTTCTTCAGGTCTTTGTAACTCCTCCGCCAGTTTTCCTCCGCCTGGTCGTGGTTCTTCCGCAACTCCGCTATTTCCCTCGCCTTGTCCGAGTCGAGCTTCTCCTTATCCTCCTGCAACCGACTAACCTGAGTCTGTAACAAGTCCAGCTGTGCCCGCGTGTCATTCACCTCTGTTGCCTTCGTCGCAATCTCACCGGTCAGCAGATCGATCGCCTGGGTACGTTCCTGCAGCATTTTGCCGAGATCGGCGATCTTGACGTCGGTCTCGCTCGCACGGTTGTCGCGATCTTGCGAGGGGACATTCGCACCCACGTTCGTATCAATTTTGCTGTCGTCCTCGAGCTCCGCGTTCACTTCCGAGTCTACCTCCGAGTTGTCTTTCGAATTTACTTCCGAGACATCTGCAGGCACTTGACGAGCTCGAATCTTGAGCTTCTCTCTTCGATGCGGCGTGGGAAGCCTCTGCTTCGGGATATGAGCGTCGCTCATCACGGACGCTACGAGGTCTTCCTTCTCCGTCGTTCTCGCAGACTCGACGATTTCCACGTTGGCGGATAAGACGAAATCGCTCGTCGCACGTGTACGACGGTTCTCCCGCAGTCTTTCCTCGATCGCGAGCGCGGTGTCCTCGGATATGCAGTTTCCGCGCAACACGAGGTCCGTGATGGTCTTGTTCTCGCGCATTGCGTTCAGCAGCAGTCGACCGCCCTGCAGGCCCAAGGTGTTCCAAGATAAGTCGATGCTCTTCAGAGACTTGTTCGCGCGTATTATCTTGCACAGGTGCTCGGCGCAATGCGCCGATATCTGATTGTACCTACGTGTACAGTGTTATTATCGATTATTTCCCCGTCTTCCGCCATAAAGCTCCATCTCTCTTACGAAAAATCAGTACTAGGAATCAGCACTCAGTATTGAGTATTAGTAACACTGATCAATCAGTACCGATTACTAGTATTTCTTTTTCGTAAGAGCTTGCTTACTCCAACGCCCTGCGGAAGCGGTGCTGAGACACACCTGAGTTAGTGTTACCTAAGATCGAGCTGCTCGATATTGTGGTTCTTCGCCAGGCCGTCGCAGAAAGCGGTGAACGAGTCCGCGTCCGAACCGACGCTGTTCCACTCGATGTGCAGCCGTTTCAGCGTGTTGTTGCATGCGAACACCCTGCCCAGCTGGGCCACAGCGGGCCCGTTCACGTTGTTACCCTTCAGGTGCAACGTCGTCACGGTGGTGCCTTCGCAGAGCGCGTCGAGGATACTGGCGAGACCCTTCGACAGTAACATGCAGTCGCTCAGGTCGATTGTTCTGATCGTGTGACTGGACACCAACATCCGCGCTATAATCTCGCAGACCGGTATCATTATCGATAGGCAAGACAATCGTAGCTCCCCGGTGATACTGCGAAACACCACGAGTCGCATGAATTTCTAATGCAAATTCCTAGTCGCAGTGTTAGCCATATTTAAATCGACGTTGGAGTGCTATCCTCACGGTAAAAAAACTCACGCTAGAAACGGTCCATTGAAACTTCGCGTTTAACTTCAACATAGAGAATACGCTGAAAAGTACACAAATATAATGTTAAATCAACGCATTCCCCATGTTAAAACAGTACAAAATTGCAGTAGACCATTTTTAACACAAAATTTTTTACTGCGCTGCTTTGGGAAAACAAACGTTTAGTGGTACATCATTATCGTTAATGAGTAATTTCGTAATTTACAATTGCAATATATCTAATATTAATTGAAGAAGAAAAGATTAAGAAGTTCTGACTTATGGAATATCATTTTGTATTTAAGCATATTGAGAAATTTAATTTTACATCCCACATAACTAAACAGTAGACAGTAGTTGCGCGCACCTGCCCATTAGTAATACCTGAAGCAACAAAGTGGGAGAGAGAGTGCGTACCGAATGCTTGTCACAAATACAATTTACATATTTGCTATCAATTACGTAATGTTTTGTTAAATTCTACAGAGATACAGAAGATCAAATTACTATCAGTTCTGTTGGATCGGCAGACAACAGTACCAGCGAAAGCGCATGCTATCTCAGGGATTCAATAATAATGTAGTGTAAATACCTGCTAACTCTGATTGCGTCTGAGATTTCGGGAATCGAGGAGATTCCGCGTTTCTCGCACAAACGAGCGAAGAGCTCGTGATCCTGCAGCATTCTTCTGTCACTTGAAATTTTCGCAGTAACCCTCCCGACAGAAGCGTCCGCGTCGACGGTTCAATTCAATTTGTCGGCCGGCTTTGACGTGAGTCACGTATCGATCGCTCTTCATGGTTCGCTACGTTGCTACCAACATAAGTGCATACACACTCACAACGGACAACGAGTCGTTCCACCCCGAATGTGACGAATGAAACCTGAAAGTTGTCTGAATTGTTTCGCCTAGAAAATCCAAGCGTGCGCATTGTGACGCACGCTTAAACAGACAATAGACCGGCGTGGCCTCCTTCTTTCCCCTACCTTCATTCATTTGCTAAATCTAGGGTGGCATCATTAGACTATACTAATATTGAATGCAATATGTAAGATACGCATAATATAATTGTACTTCAAAAATATAATTTATAGAACAAAAAAAAATGGTTGAATTTGTGCATGTGAAGTGATGTGCATTCACGGAAAGAATTGTAATTTCTCTCTAAATATGGATTGTTATATCCATAAATAATGTATATCGCTAAATAATTCTTTAAAAGAGGATAAATAAAAGGAACTGTATAGAGAATGTATATATTTTAAGTCATATTAGACACTTCCTCTCATATATATTTCCTCTTATATATATTTTATATGTGAGTGAAAACGGCACGTAAGATGTCCATACTTCTTCTCATATATTTAATTTTTATATTATATATATTTTTTTTTTTCATATATATACAAATATATTGTACTATGTCGTTTGTCTTCTTTTACGATAGGCATAGTGTAACGTAATTAGTTTATCCGTTAAAAAAAAAATAAAAATACTTATGATTGTCTAATTATGCCTTTTTTTATATGTGGGTGAAAACGGCACGTAAGATGTCCATTTCCACCTGAAAAATATTCATCATTATCTCCACGAACATGCGAACGAACAAAGTTACACCGTGTATGCGCGTTTAATAATACCTTCTCAACAATTTCATCCCGAACGGGAAGTCAAAGGTACTCCAAACGTATTCCGTACTACTGTCAATTTTCTCATCGGTCACGCGATCGGTCAGCTCCATTTCTTTTGACCAAGCCACCAATCCACGCTCTTCCGCGGTACCTTGGTGACAAAATTAATAATTCAATAGCTACAGCCGTTGTAATTCGCATTTAAACAATATACGGATACCTGGCACGATATTATCCAAGAAGCAACCCAATACACCGCCGACCAAAATGGTGGTGCTGAGTAACACTGTAATAACACTGTCCACCACTTCGTTTCCCGTTTGAATCACGTCTGAATGTTTGATCATCCACTTGGACAGTACCTGAAAACGAATTATTCGACAATGAATTATTCAACGCATATCCAACGCAATTTGTACACAATTTCATTCTCTTCAAATATAATCACCATGGGGAAGAACATGGAGAAACCCAGAATATATAAGTTTCTCGCCGAATTGAGATCTATGTATTGTAACGCCGACAGTCCTAAAAATATACAGAATAATGGTGAAAGGCGTGATGGAGGAAGTTCCCTTCATCTCTCAACTCTACATTGTCTTCGCGAAAATTCGTCACTTTCTCGGCTAATCGACGAGCAACGATTAGAATCCCGGCGAGAACTCACCGAAGGCGCAAATCATCCCGAACATCACGCAAAATATGCCGCCGACAATCGGTTCGGGTATTATAATAAATACCGCTCCCAACTTGCTAATCACGCCTTGCAGAATCATTAGGAAGCAGGCCCACTGTATGACTCTGCGGCTGCCGACTTTCGTAACCCCTGATCGTTTCATGCAAGTAAACGTACGATAAGTCCGTCGGGTAACGAGATATTTTACGTCGCATCCGTAACTCCCAGTGAAATCAACATTCTTTACCTATCGTGCCGACGTTCTCTCCGAACGTGTTCGTGCCGTTCCCGCTACCCCAAAGTCCGGCCAACATCGTGCCGAGGCCTTCCATGCCGATGCCTCGATTGATCGCGTGGACCGGCGGCGGCGGCGCTCCTAAAATTCACTCAATCAATTTCATGAATATTGCCCAATCAAACGCGCTCACACACGTGTTAGTAGTTTATTCAATCGTCCGAACGATTAGACACACTTAATCTAATTATAGAAACGCGAGTATACGAGATCTCATGGTCTGATTTATTATTGGACCAACTGCTTGTTCGCAAAATTCGATAAGCAATCATGCGATGTGTTGTAACTAAAGGGTATGCCGGAAAATGATCTTACTTAAACATAAGCGAGCTAGGTAGGTCGGATTTACATTTAAAGAAACCGCGATCAAGGATCTCGTGGTACGAAATAGGTAACTCGTAATATTAACATTAACAGGCAAAAACAGACAAAATCTATGTTTAACAGCACAACGCATATGTCATTTAGTTGTAACTATTTTGTATAAAGCGCCAAAAATATATTATTTGTTAAAAATATAATATTTTCACGTTAAATATAAACATTAAAAATAAGAAGTTTCTTTTCCTTTCTTTGACATAAATTATATAAACACACAAAGATTTCTTGAAGCAACTATATTTGTTCTGTGGCACACCTTGAACGTTATATATTTTCCTATGCTAATAATGACTTCTGCGGTCTTATAAATATTATATTGCATATATTATGAATAAAACTGTTAGACTCGATAACATGGATTCACTCAGCGTGAACGGAAAGTCTTTAGAAATCAGCCCGGCAAGGAACGAGTGTTAATAAATAATATAAACCCACAGATATATTAAAAAAAAAAACGTTCTTCGAAAATTTATACTTACCGCACATCTTTGCGGTGGTGGGGTAATAACTGATAGATTCGACCGTGCAGGCTAATACACCCGCTAACATGCCGAGAACGCCCGATAACGTAACGGTAGGTAGACCCCATTGTCCGGGATACGGAACGCGGAACCAGGGCGAGTCGCTTATAATTTTCAATTTACTGTCGGACCTGGCGGGATGACCCATCGGAAGTGCGTCCATCACCGTTAATATAGTGCAGATTATCCACATGGCAATGATCGTCAGCAAAACCTGCAAATGGAGAAAACACCGTGGCTTAGACACATACGTGTATGTATGCGTGCATCATGTACACGTATTTACGCGTTGAAAGAATCTTCTTCCAATCCCGCGGCGTCGATCTATATAGATATAACTTTGTACGTTACTACGAAAAGAAATTCAAAAGAATTTTGTTTATCTACACAAAAAAATATTGAATCAATCAAATTTCCAGCAATACGCGTAATTAGAGTAAATCTTTTTAATTCAATAGCGAGACATCATTGAAACTTGAATGCTTTGATTATTGTAACAACACATAACATAGTTCTAACGATATTTGTCATTGAATTAAGAAGATTTATTCGAATTATGTTGTTGTTGTTGGAAATTTTATTGATTCAACCGAATTTTTTCCGCGTACGAGAAATAATCTATTGCAAACGAAGCTCTATATTATCCGGTGTCTGTGTTATTGTCATTTACCTACAGGATTAAATCTCTCTCTCTCTCTCTTTACCCTTTTATCTTGTACTACTTGCCGGGAACAGTTTGAACAACTCGAACCAGATCAGACGGAGACCGTGATCCTTACGATATATCACGAATGGAACCGGCACGTTGACCAATATTTGAGAATACGTCGTCAGCATTATTATCGTTCTGTAAAAAAATATAAGTGTATGTGTTATAATCGCTCAATATTATATCACGATAGACGTTTTTGTCATTAATTTTTCCACACGCATATGTCTAATTATATAGTTCCGTACCCGGCTGCGATACCCCAGTGCTGAGATGCAGCATCCGCTGCATTTTCAAACAAGGACAGTCCGACCAATGAGACCGTCGGCACGATCGTTAATGGAGTGATAAACTTCAGCAGATATCCGATAATACCTGCACACCACATCACACGGAGAAAAAGATACATCACTTCGATATTCAGGAAAATCGGCGCGATTGCGATAATTACAGTAGTAATCTTCGGCCAGGACCGGCCGAAAAAAAACATCAAACGCCCACCTCCGAACCCGACGACTATCTGGAACACGGCGGATACGGCGATCGCGCCCGATAACTCTCTCATTCGCACCTGCCAAAGTTCCGTGCGGTTCTCGTGGGACATTTGACTTAAGATTTCCGGCGCGGGACATTGCCATTGCGGCAGGTTCAATATCGCCAGAGTTGGTACCAAGAACGATATGGTGCCTCCCTGCACCAACGGTAACCTAAGACAAGAAACCTTCACTCATCGCAATTATGGATATACTGAAAAATGAGTTTGGTTGGATTTACCTGATACAATAAACAACCAAATGTGTTTTAATTAAAAAAACATAATTTTTGGTCACAAGAATCAAATTTGACTAAGAACTTGAAATTTTGTTTCCTTCAACGAAAAAACGCATTTAGTTGTCCATTGTCAGATAAATCCAATGAAACTCGTTTTTCAATGTTTGTAATGTTTATCGTCGGCAAGCAGTGTTTCTCTGAGTTAAACGCGCCCTTAATATAATTTTTCGTAATTTCTCTTTAATATTTTACGTATTTTAAATGTCAATATGCCTAATTATATAGGATGTCCCAGCATAAGAACATTTAAATATCTTAGGAGCCTAAATATGGGGATCTTAAAAAAATCGAAAAGAATAACCGTAAAAGTAAATTTTCCTTTTACGGTATTTGTCCTCCAAAACCGTTCAAATTGCACTCTAAACATTTCTCATATCGATAAAAATAAAGGAGATATTTAGGTATTTTCCTTATGCTGGGACATCCTATATAACATGCTGACGCGCTCGTTTACATTGGTTATACGATAGTTTAATTGATAATCAAATTATTAAAAATATGCTAAAATAATTCGAGAGAAAATAAAATAAAATAATTCGAGATGCATGTTTTACCTCGTTCCACTGGCTCTCTATTGGCCGTACAGTCAATTGTTTTCACCTAATTAATCTATGCCAACACTTCATTGCCGATTTTCCTCTTTTGTAAACATCATACACATACCTACATCCTACGGTGGATTGGATGAGCGTCACTAGGCCGGTGACGAAAATCATCGTAGAAATGATGTAGCTTCTCGAGGGATCATCCTCGGCCATGCAGAGAGCTGGCGTTAATATGAAAGGGATAGAAACGATGGCGCCGATCATGGTCAGATAATGCTGAAAACGCGATCTCGTTCACTTTCGCGTCGATCATATTGATCATATAGTAAAGTAGCGAACAATATGCAATCACGGAACCTGCAATGCCATGAATAGACACAGATACCACGGCGGAACGTCGTCAATGCCATACGTGAGGCCGGGATTTCTGTTGGCGCCGTCCACCGCTTCCTGTGGCGCCGGATTGTTTATGTTCTGAAATATAAAGTCGTAGTACGGAGCTCGTTAGAGAGAAACGTTCGTATCGTACCAACCGGACGAGTTTTCGACGAGATACTGGAAAGGTGTAAATCACGATGTACACTGTTAATTATGTATCACTACTGTTAACTATGTATCGTTAGAGGTACGCGTTGAAATGAAATCTCTACGTAATTACAAGAAACATTTCGACATACCTCGAATTTGGAGGTATTACGAAATTCATACTTGCAAATTTGGAGATACTATCGGGTAGTATTTTTAAATTCGAAGTACTTCGAAATGTCTCTCGTAATTACGTAGGATTTTTATTTCAATGTGTATCTTTCATCTTTGGCGATGGTTAACAGTGCATTTGCGCATACGTTGTCGTAATACTACTTTGATCCATACTGTGGAGATAAGAATACCGACTTCGTACGCTTCTTAATATCTGTCTAATCCGTCTAATTTGTTGATACAACAGTCTCGCCAGTTCGAAGAGAATTTTTTGGACGATCTCCTGATAATTTGACGATCTCCTGCACAAAAAAAAATTTGATTGAATTTACCAGTCAATTTAACCAACCAATCGCATTTTGAGTGAAAGAAACAGAATTCCTGATTCTTATAACCCAAATTTAGTACTCATAATCAGAAATTCTGTTTCCTTCAGCCAACGCATGTTTGGTTCGTTCACTGTCTAGTAAATTTAACCAAACTTTTTTTCGGGGTGGCGGTAAAATTATAATTATAATTACAACGATTATTTCGGTTAATAGTAATGCGACGTGTTAGAAATATGACAATAGGAGTGGCTGCGAGAATCTGACGAAAGACTTCCGAGAGACAACTCAGAAAACAGATCTCACTCAAATGCGGAAAAAACATGTTATTGAGTTTCACTGTTTACTACGTTTTCAATGCTTTATGTGGTAATCCTTCAGACGTTGCTCATTCAGTGCTTAATCAATGTTTAAAATATTCCCGAGCACTCGTACTCTGTAATAATAAAACGTGCGAACAGGTCGTTATTTATTCGAAGATCATTCATGGGTCATGCTTGAACTCTGGTCGATGTCAGGTATAACTCTTGTCGTGAGAAATTTATTCTGAGAAAAAATTAATTTCCATTTAACTAAACTTCTAGAGCTTCGTGAATATAATTGGTGTAAAGAAAAAAGAAAATGCAAACTTGAGGCGAATAATATTGTAAAAATTCAATCAAAATTCGCAAAAAATTTATCGATTTCAATGTCCTTCCGTAAAGATATCTGGAGATCATCTCGATACTGTGCATGATACTTGCTACACGTAATTCAGATACCTATTTTTTTCCGCCGCTTGCATAATTTACGTATAGGTAGAATATAAGAATAATTCCTATACTCGTATCAGTCAGAGATGGCGTAGATACGCAGTACGCTTCGTAACGCCAATAGGAATTAAACGAATAAGATCATGGCAACAAAAAGCCTGTGAGCTGTAACATTACGCAATGCAGCTCGTTTTCTTTTTTACTTCCGGCAACTACGCTAATCGCGTATATTTCCAATAGCGAGTTAATTTTCCAGGAACGAAGGTTTATTGTCGGTCGTTAATTTAATGGTTATCCGAGCAAAACGGCGCGTGTAGCGCAAAGCGGCCGAAATAAGATCGGGAGGAAAATCCTGAGAGATGATCGCTGCTACATTCCATCCGTTTTGTCTCATCGCCGAGCGCCGGTATAATTCTCACTTTGTGACTGGTACTGATCACTCACTGTATACTCACATTGAACAGAGCTGAGAATTGCCGCTAAGCGTCTCAATGGTGATATATGAGCACGTGACGCATTGGGAACTTTCCGAAACAGTTGTGTTAAATTAATCGTAGGCATTATGCTCATTTGAGCGAGGCATTCCGATTTAATCTGGCATTGTATCGTTGGAAGTAAAGAAGTAAAATTGCATTAAATCGTGAGATGTGCTGGTGAACAATAACACCACGACGCAAACTTCGTTGCGACGGCGTAAAAATAATTTTGTCGTTTTACACTTGAACGACCACAGCAGAAAAACACGGTTCGATATTTACGCAAGATGAATACGAGATTTATCGATGTTTCTTTACGTTGCTTGTTTTATTATTGTATTATACGTTATTAATATTATACAGAACATCTTTTTACTTCTATCGTATTAATTTTTGACTACAAATTTGTCGGCTCTTTTGCGGCCGACTCTTCTCATCGGCGATGGTAAACTATTTAACGATGGTAAACTAGTAAAACGAGTTAACCATGGAAATGTCAAGGTAACGTCAAAATTATGTCTTTTACGTCACAATATCATCAACGTTAAGAATCAATTTGAAATGACTTAATTGTGACGTACGGGTTTACGAGACTCACGATGCACTTAACAACATATAATTATATAAATACAATCGTTTTCATATTTATATAATTTTTTATTTTTTTATTTACTATAGGAATATCAAAATCTAATGTTATCATATACACATCACCGTAACAGTTCATATAATACTACCAAGATTAAAAATAGATTCAAGATCCAATTGGTATTAGCCGTGTTTTCAGTCGATAATTTTAATTGACATCTTTTATATCCACTTTCTTAACGTTAATTACTTATATACCTGACCTAATTAGCTTCAATATTTTATTGCCGACGAAAAACATAAATACACAGAGTGTCTGAAACTTTTTTTTCAATCGCTCGTGTGAAAGTAGAACGGATTAGATTGAGCAAAAAAGTTCTCCATTTTGCAAACAATCACGCAAAATTTTGAGATATTAATGATTGAAAATGGTCATGTATAAAGGTTTCTTTAAATAATAACTGAAAGACTTGTTATTTACAAAACGGTACAGAGCTTTTTTGTTCAGAATGGCCTAATCTACAAGTGTATGACCGGTGTTGTACCTAGCAACGGACATCAGTATATTGAACCTTAAATTTTGAACTTTGTCGTCAGGTACAACAACTGTCATATACTTGTAAATTAGGCCACTCTGAACAAAAGTCCTGCACCATTTTGCAAATAAAACGCAAATTTTGGAATTATTACTTAAAGAATACTTGTAAAATATTTTTAGCATTTGAGAATGAAAACCGTCAAACATAATATCATGTATGAGGTTGATAAAGCCACTTTAATATGTAACTTTTTTGTCGAGAGTTACTCACCATTTCGGACATACGTATTCCGTTTTCTGGCATTTTGGCGGGCACAGACTTTTATTCTCGCAAACGTGATCGCCGTCCGATCTGTACGAGAGATTCTCACGAAAAATCAAATGCCAAGGTGACGGGGTGATAATCCGATCAGACCGATTCGCGTCCGAATATGCATCCACCGCGTGTTCGACCAACGCGTGTCGTAATTACTTTGTTCGATCTTTCTTCAATATATTCCCTGTTGCGATACGGACACTAAAAGCTTATCTGTGCCCATCGTATTTATTAAACGACTATTTAGACTCGACACATTCTATGACGTATCCCCCCAAACAATACTCGAAAATAAATCGACCACAATTGACAATGCAAGCGCGGTCTATGCACGGCCATTCGTCTGATGACGATTGATACGGGCTTTATAAATGTGAGGGAGGCACGAAAGTGAAAGGACTGAGTAAGGAATAGGGCTGTGGTGGGGCAAAGATTATATTTAAAATTGTTGATTCGCAATCACACGAGCGAGATCTTCCGTCGTTTATCTATAACTAATGATGATTATAGTCGCAAATATCTGTTGCGCGTTCGAAACGTCGCAGTAATGTGGGATTGCCTGGCACAGCGCGGTAGAGTAGGAAGGAGGTGGTGAGGCGCGACACTTAATAAAGTGCCTTATCTTTTATACAAACTGAACTGGTCTTTTATTACTTGTTTGCCCGATACACTTTTACGTACGCGTCCGACAGCGTGTCGGTATCCGAGAGTTGAGATTGTGAGTCGCACCCGCGCCGGTCTTACGTTCCCTTTTATTCTTCTCCTATGTCTTAATCAGAGGGGACGGTTGTTGATGTGTCAGCGTCATCTAAATAAGGACGCTGACTATCCTGATTTCGATATCTCTATTGCAGGAATGCCAGGTTGCATTTCTGCATAGCAACGTTTGGTAATTCGGAGCCGTGGCCCCGTTTATGGTTTTTGACATACTTTATCGTTGCGCTTACAACATATCAAATATTTTTCTCTCGGTGTACTCTCTCGATGTGCATTTCAATTGTTTCGAAGGCACCATATGTGAGAAAATTTTATTCCGCATTTTTGACTTATCTTCTCGCAAGAAACCGGCATATCCTCGTCAATTTCACGATTTACTGGATAATATCTTGTTTATATAATCTTATATAATAGATTATTTAATCTTATAAAAATTGATCTAATTGATTTCGAACTGGTCGGAATTGTAATGGAATTAATTACACGCGAGATCGCCCAGGGGCACGATAGGATATTTGCAATTAACACGTGTGCACATAGTGTATCAGATTGAGATAATCGCAATGACGTATGATTAAATCAATTCATCGTCGTCGTCCTTGCGCAACTGTAGCATATACGCGCTACAAAAACATAATTATTCTCATGATTAATGGCATTTATTATTGGCAAGACGACGCGGTTTTATTGCCACCTTCGTGAACGTATTGACCATTGAAAACTTTAAACGTCATACCGACCGTAAGTCGAAAGTGTCGCGATTATCAACAGAGACCGGAGATAATAGAAGAATATTGACGTTATCAACTGTTCCGACTACTTTCCGACGACTTTTCGTCACGTGGAGATTAAGGTATACGTGCGAAACATCAGTTTATTCAACGATTGGTTCAAAATTCAGTATTATTAAATATATTTCGAAGTATCAAGATAATAATTAATAACCACGATTAAAAACTATAAGTTTTCTCGTTTCAGATGGTATCACTTCGAATTCTTGTGAAAATTGCGTCCATCGGAGGATTTGTAACAGCGGGTACAGGTTATATTTTCATGTTTCTTATGCAAAACAAAATTAAAAAGACCGAAAATTACAAGGATGCAATGGACGCTTTGCGTACTCATAAGAAAGCTGTACCCTATTTTGGAGAACCTATAAGATTGGGTCATGTCAAGTACGGCGATGGGCAGCGGGAAAATAGAATACCTTATAAGTGGTTTAAAATCCCCATCAGAGGTACCCATACTAAAGGAAATATGTATTACGAGGTAACGTTAAACCAGAAACTCGAAAATAAACCCGAAGTGTCCAGGATTGAAATAACATTTGACAATATACCAGGGAAAACATTTGTGATAAGAGATAATATCGTATAAGATGATACAATTATTAATATTGAAAAAAATGAACAATATTTGGATATAATACTTATGTGTAAAGACATGATAGACACATTAATTATTCGTATTAATATAATCGCTCTAATAGTATAGATAATATTATGTAAATATTAGTATGTAACACACAATTCTAATAAACATTGATATATTGAAACGTAACAGATGTGTGCCATTTTTTTTCTAGTTCGTGACAGCTTGTTGTCAATTTGTTAATCTTATTATTATGTACATCTGTTCGATATTGTATCGTCATATGTTTGATTATATATATTTTATCCTATCGAAACGTTTGTAACGGCATGTCAGTAACGCCTTTGGGAACTGCCAAGCCACGTCTCATGTGACCTAATGCTGCCTGGATAACGTGTATCGCTGCCTCTACAGTAATTCTTACGTCTCGCTCGTTACCGATTTGTGGATTGACCTCTACCAAATCCATGGCACTCAGTCTGCCCGTTCTATGTATCTGCTCCATGAGATGAATCGCTTCTCTAAGATACAATCCTCCGCGAACTGCAGTTTATAAACATATAAATAATAAGTTAAGCAGAATAATACTTGCATAGATCTCAGCACAATCGACAACATACCTGGTGTGCCAGTGCTGGGTGCTTCAAGTGGATCCAACGAGTCTATGTCGAAACTAACGTGTATAGATTTTTCACCGTAAGGATCTATCTTATTCAACGCCATGTGGAGCACATTGTGAATACCTGCGAATGTATCAATACCGATGTATCGTACATTTTATGTAACGTTCGATGAATCGAGTTCTGGTATTTCGACTCTTCTAAATATATTACCATAGTGTTCTATGTCTTCTATACCGAAAGCCGTGATACCATGCTTCTCGATCACCAATCTTTCATAACAATCCACGGATCTCAGACCAATGTAAGCTATGTTTCTGATTGGCAACCTGCAAGAAAATCATTGACTTGTCTAGATGTCGTAATCTTATATAAAAATTCATTTGTCTAAATGTTGCACCCTCTTGAATCCACCCGGTTAACCGGTATTCTGATATTCAGACCTTATAATTTTAATTTCTGTAATGATATCAATTTGAGATCGTCTTAAGTTCATTTTCAGATGCACTGCGGACTATCCGAACGATCCGTGCAGTATCTGAAGATGAACTTAGAAAAATGAATTTAGGACGATCTTAAATATAAGGTCCGACTATAAATACCGGGCCGTGGATACATTTTTAAAAACAGACGGATCGATGAGCATATACACACACAGCAAATTATTATAATGTTAAGATATTATTACATTGGCTTTTGCCAGTCCATGCCGGGTAGATATGGCCAATAATCGGACAGTTCGGAAATCAGCAATGCCGCGGGCATTCCGTGCACGTTACCGCTGTCACTGGTCTTGTTGGTGTTGAGGTCCGCGTGAGCGTCCACCCATATCACTGCCACATTTTGCTTTTCCTGCGAATATCAGCGCTTCAGTCCTATTCTGTAACTTTTAACAACAGTGTCATTATCGTCAAGTGTTATTGCGCAGATCTTCTACCGTTTATTATACCTGCGCAACGACAACGTAACGACGACGCATACTGTCGTTAAAAGTTACGAAATAAATCTGCAAGACTCGATAACAACTCGCTTCGATATTTCCCACAAGAAGTAATATTGATTTACCTTGATGTGTCCGTCGATAGTACCGATAACCACGCTGTGATCGCCACCGATCGTCACTACCTGCCTGCCGTCTTGCATTACTTGTCGAACATATTCGGATAAACGATTGGTGCAGCTAGCCACGTGGCTCAGATGAGACATGTTATTCACATCGCTCACGTTCTCCTCATTGTAATTCACATCACCGTAATCACGCACATCCAATCCTTCGTAAAAATAAATCTCGTTAAATATGCGCACGCATGTATTATAAAACGACGGGATATCTCGTACGGATTTATACCTAACACTTTCAATTCCTTTATCAACCCTGCCGTTCGGATTGTCTCGGGCCCATGGGCTACCCCTACTTTCGTCTGCAAAAGACGCGTGTTTTATAAAATACGATCGAAACGTGACACTCTTTCCGTCGTACACTTAACTCATGTGAAAAGCAACACATCGATAACGTTAATCTCGCAAGTGAAACGTTCTTACGTTTTTTCTTTTACTCTCTTTTTCCATGTATTATATATTTACCTGTCCTTTCTCGAACGGTACGCCGATTATGCCGATTTTCCCGCTGTGGAAACGAACACCCACTTTGGCGAAGATCGCACGAGCTCTCGTCAGTACAATCATTTTTCACACTGTATCTTTTACTCACGACTAGAGAGATGGTTCGGTGTTGTTTACGGCGAAGCGATACGTGTGGCTTTGACCTGCAAGCTCACTGATATGACGTAAATATTGCTTCCCACATGAGTGCCGTCGCGCAGCGAGACTGAAGACATAAAACTGAAAAAATCCAATTTTCTTGAGTTCCTGTAGATATATTCGAAGTATATGGAAAAAGATCAGATTCTATCAAAAGTCGTGATTAGGGTAATGATAAAATCGAACTCAAATTTTTAGATTCCGAGAGGCTTCGAAACAACTTCATAAATCTTTTCTTTATATATATATATATATATATATATATATATATATATGCATGAATCGCGATGTGGAAATCAATAGACACAGCAATAAACAATCGTCAGAAATAACGAATTTTCGTTATGAAACTTTTAGTACCTGATAAAAATATTCTATATTTTTGTCAAACAATCTTATTACACAAGATAAACAATAATCGGTGTATGCATGCTTACGCGTATACGCACACAATGATTCATTCGTTAAGAGAATCCGATAAGAATCAGCGATAAGGATCAGATTGTTTACCTTGACAATCTTTTCTTACTATTGACATAAACATGTACGAAGGTCTCATCCCTCCCATATATGCGATCCTCGGCGCGATATAACGAAAAGTTACACACTGTTTATCACTGCTGCACAATTTTATCCTTCCTTCATCAGCTCGTGGCTCTCGAAATTATATACCGTTTCTTTAACGATAAAGATACCAACAGAAAAAGATTACATAATGTGTTAATAAACGCAAGAAATCAAGAGGAATTTTACCTACATTTAACGATTAAAAATCGGGTCACGGTATGATACTTCATCGTAAAGCGTCGTAAATATCAATGATATTTGGACGATACTCGGAGCGGAGATACTCTTTATTTGAATCCGGAATTCGAGCTGTAAGAGTTATATAGCGGCAGAGAGAAACCTGATAAAAGGATTTTAAGAGGACGCGTTTTCCGTCGCGCTCTCTAAAAAAGTGTGTCTAAACTACGTCCGTTACACGCACTTTCCAATGCTAACGATAAAGTCGCTTGATGCGTGCCTAATATATTTCTCTCTGATAACGATGAGCACGTGTGCCTGGTATGGAAAACAAAAATTGTGATTGCAGTGCATTTGTACCAAGCCTAAATCATTATTTCTTTCGTCATCCCATAAACAGAAGGAAGAATCCGATAGGCTTATCGTTCAACTATTCAAGATAGGCATCGATAATAAAAATATTTCGGATATCGTATTCCTTGACGGTAATAAGGGACCTCCTAAGAAAGAAAAGATCATATATGACATTTGTCTACATATGATTATATGTAGTCATATATGTCTACAATGAAAAGATACTGTTGTTTATAAATTACATGTAAATATAATCGAAGTAAATGTTTCTAGCTACTTGTGCTTTTGACAGCACCTTATATCGACATTTAATTAAATGACATAACATCATTTTCTTTCGTGTATATAAACATATATGATCATATATGTAACTACATATATGGGCAAAATTCATATACGATTTTATATAATTATATATAATCGTATATAATCATTTTTTCCTGGGCTTTTATATTTGGTCTGTTCCTTTTAGTCGAACTGGCTGGCACTAGTTCAAGAAATCAGTTAAGAAAAAAAAATCGATAATACCAATAATAATTACCAACAAATTCGTCAAACATACATATTTGAGAATTTCAAAACAGTTTCGGTCGGTCGCCGGCTCTTTCTGGGTGGCGCTCCTAAGCTAAAACGGAAGGAAGGAAGGAAGGATAAGATCAACACTCTACAATTATCTCCGGCTGATCGTCGGAGATAATAGTAGACCACCGATGTTACCGACATTGGACGCGGTGTGGATCTTCCGTCTCACGCGGGGTCACCTGCGTCTGACCTGTGTCTGACCTGTATGTGACGCCGACGCGGCACGTTCCGAGGGGGGAACGAGAGCTTTAATTCAGTAACAGTATTCAAAGGTTCGGGACACGCTCAAGACCCAAGTCGTTTTCTACCTGACCGTAGATGTAAGCCGCGAGTCCTCGTCGTCGCCTCGAGCAAACTGGCAGGATATTCATCGTACGTTCGACGTTGCTCCTCCCGAGGGAAACAGAGCCCGTACGTGCGAGTTCTAGGTTATAGAGGCCACCGTTCTCAGCCCAATGTAAACCCAATGTGAACGGCAAGATTGCGATCAGTCAGTTCGGTCAGTTCGGAAGCTTAGCGAGCCTTATGTATTGGAACAGAACGGCGGCCGGTGGTGTGCGCGAAGAAATGCCGCTAAGCTCGATCAGTCATACCGCGAGCACCACCACCACCGACACAGTGGAAAGTGTGAATCCTGGCACGAGCACGCAGATAACATCGACCTGCTGCACCGTCCTACCACCACCGCCTTATCATAATATTAATTTACCCCTTGGTCATCCCTCTACGTTGACCAATGAACGTGGTGCACCACCCTCCTATGAGGAAGCGATAGATCCTAATGGTACGTTATCGTGATCCTTGTCAGTTGTATTTTGCATCTTCGTGACATCGTCAAGTGTGATAAACAACCCCTTGGTGTCTCTCTTGCAGCTCCACCGCCTTCTTACGATTCCCTGTTTGGTCGTATGAGGGAGGCTCGCAAAGTTTCGAAAGGCATATTCGATTTCTTGAAGAATATCATCTTCCTACTCTTGGGTACAAGTAAGTTGCATATGTTTACATACAGTTAGATCAGTATCCACACAGATGGGTACTGTTTCACTGATATGGTTCGATATTCGAATGTGGAGCATGAAATTGGTATCTTCCAGTCGGCTGTACCATCATTCTTGGGGTAACAATAGTGGTACCGATTTGTATGATGGTCATCGGGGGACTGTATCTGTACGATTGCCCACAGGGTGAATACATTCCCGTATACTTGTTAGTGGGTGGTGGATTCGGAGTATTTAAACAATTGTTACACTTGTCAGCTAGAGTGAGACAGCGTCAGGAAGAGAGAGACGAAGAAAGGATAAGGCAATCACCTACACAGACTCTGATCAATTGTTTTATGCTCGGATGGTTCATTATTGGTAGGTACCTGTAATTTCAATCTACACAGAAAATAAATTGCTAGATTTAAGTAAGTTTAAATAATCCTTAGCTTCAGTATTTCTTGAATACTCTAACTTCAGTATGCTTTAGCAAATTTTTACTTAAATTAAGTAAGTTTCACTTGGACAATTTACTTGGAAAATATTTCACATTGATCAAATAAATATTGCTTGATAAGAAAAAATAATAAAATTTTGCTAAAGAGTATTGGAGTTTGTCGGATTATTCACTTGAATCTAACATATTTTTTCCGTGTATCTACAGTCCCTGGCCATATTATTAGATATAATTAATTTTTTTTTTACATTTCGACTTCCGAGGATCAGCTTTATAATATGGCTCATCTATTAATCGAATTATGTTAAGGAACCATTATTCTATATAAAAAAAAAAAAAAAAAGAGGTATCTTTTATTCGTCATTTCACTCGACTGTTACAATGACCTTGAACAATTGTGAATCCGCGCTAGATACATTATTGACAATAACGAGAACAGACGTGAGTTTTCAGTGTGCGTCCATTGAAATTTAGATTTATTTTTGTTTATTTGTGATTTGAAACTTCAAATTCCTTGCTTATTAACGGAAAAATCAATTTTCGTGTGAAAATTATTAATATTGTTTACACAATTCTGGATAAAACAAGTGACAATTCGACACCTCGGAAGGTTATACAGATAAAAGCTCACTGTTTGACACCGAAAATTAATCGAGTCAAGATAAAATTAGTAACTTTTCTTCTTCCAACCTATATTCTATTAAAGAACCAAAGTGCGTCTGACAATATGACCAGGGACTGTGCGCATCCGCCAGATCTGTTCTCACTCCGAAGTGCGTGACGAACTTATTCGTTACAGGCTCGATGTGGGTGTACAAAGAGTACGAGCCGAATTATGACCCGGCGCTGGGCAAGCACTGCAACAAAACGCTGTACTTGTTCGCCTTCTGGCTGATCACGTCGGTCTACATATGCCTGGGCGTCGTGACGGCCGGCCTGTGCAGTATTTCCGTAGCTAGTATCGCGTTTCAGAGATCGCCGCCGCAGGTCTGAGACAGCGCGGCATCGTGCTCGTGTTCAAATCTCTGAGATGACGTAACAACACAACCGCCAGGACCATCCGTATTTAACAAACGTCTGGGAGTCGCGCGGCTTAACCGTATTTATCCGATGAAGACACGCAGCTCACGCGGTTGTACGCGTGCTACCCGCGTTTTACGCGGGAACGACGAATCTCGAAAGAGGGAGCGCCGTCTCGCGTTACCGTGGCCCTCGTGATCATGGGAACTCGCCAACACCACCGCTCCCCCCTCCCCTGGTCGTTGAACACGGATCGCTCATTCTTTTATATACGCCGGACGCGCCAATAATCGGGATCGGAAGTTTCAAATACGGAGCGGATCTCCAGTTTGTATATAGAGATACGGATGTACGTGTTGTAAACGTTGAGAAATCTCATTCTGGGAGCAAACCGACGAGTGTAGTCGCGCTCGGCCGCGACGTCGTCTTGTCGCCGACGAAACGAGTCGCTTCGCAGAGAACGAACGAAAAAGAAAAAAAGGAAAAAAAACAAGAGAGAGAAAGAAGACAAGCAAAGAAGAGGGCGCAAAAATTTCGTCCACGTTTACGTACCTGAGATGCTTAAACGACTATTTCGAAAGAAATCGTTGGCACGTTAAACGCACATAGAGTAATCGCGCGGCGCGCGATATGAAATTTCAGACGGAAGATCGTCGTCGTCGTCGTCTGAAGGACGAACGGCTGTCGTTCGCGCGAAAAGAGGCGCGCAATTATCTCTCCTTAGTTAACTCTCAACCGACGCGGTAGCGTCGTGACGCCAAGTACATAAAAATCGATTCGACTTTGTCGAGATTGCACTCCCCCGGAGGGAAATCGGAGAATACACGGACACATCAACGTCAGTTCCCTCGTCTCTCTCTCTCTCTCTCTCTCTTTCTCTCTCTCTCTCTCTCTTTCGTCCGCGCACAGCCCTCCAGGACAGCCGGCTGAGAACGAGAGGAGGCGAGGGGGAAAGCGGAGTAGTCGCTTCGACCGGATTTAAGGGCTGTGTGTCGCGTTAATTCGCGGATTCTCGAATCTTGTGCCAAGTGGACGCGCGGAGTTGCAGACCAAAGTATTTTGCTATGACGGTGTTGTTCGCGCCAGCGCGTTGCGTGCGTGCGTGCGCTACGACGCGTTTCTATGTAATAACGAGATAAAGACCCGTTCTCTCCCCTTCACTTCCTACCCCTCATATACACACACACACACACACACACACACACACACACACACACGTACATACTATACCTTCTCCTCCTCCCTCACGGAATTCCTCCCTCGCCGCGGCGGGTTGGTGGTGCGCGCGCGACTCGCGCACCACGCTTACGGCGACGCTTCGATACCGACCGGTCTAACTCACCGTAACTCCGCGGTAATAAATGTTAGTCATCTGCATCGACGCTAATCGACCGTTTCTCCTCTCTCGACTTCTTATCTATGTTAAGCATCCTACGGATTTTACGGACAATGTACAGTCGAAGTACGCACTCCGCTTACTCGTGGCGTAACTTATTCTTAAAAGACTGCGATCTCGCGCGACAATTTATATTTATTCACCCTCTCCTCCGTCCTTCTACGCATCTATATAGATCTCCATGGATCTGCCCTTTTTGTGTCTATACATGTGTACGATTAATTTTGTTAATTTTTCTCTTCTTAGAGAAGATCGACTACAACAGGAAAGTACGGGCGATGTTGTATGACGTTTTTTTTTTTCTTCTTTTACCTTTCTCCCGACGTGCGTCTATCCTGTAAAGACTAAAAAAACGACAGTATTTGTCAGTATTGCTGATTTTTCGAAGGAAAAGAGAAAAGAAAAAGAAGGCCACGCCCCACGTCGTCGTCGTCGACGCGGCGTGGACTTATTTGTAATTTAATTGAAACGATTGTATTATGAAGTGTATTATGAAGAATAGCCGTTGTAAATATTACCATTCCTTCTACTTTCGTACGACTTGATCCGCTTCTCCGACTCGAGTTTAGTCTTCCTCACCCAGTCCGTTTGTAAGAACATGATTATTACGAGCGTAGGATTAGACTTAAGCGTAGAGGTAGACCATAGACGTGAGGCGGGCGTAGGCACAGGCGCGCGTGATCGCGCCTGTGACGATGCGACGAATCTCGCTGTAATATGCTTGTGCGCGTAACGATTAACAATAACCGAGCTTGATGCATCCAATTGTGCATAAATGTAATACGATACAGGCAGACAGACAGACACACATGCGCGCGCGCGCACACGCATACACATATTACCAAATTTTTATCGTGCAACAATTACAAGCTTATTACACACGCAAGTTGCGATAAAACAGGCGATACGGGAAATTGGCGATGATTCCTCGCGCGGAGATAAATCGAAGAGGCGGAATGAACGTCGTCTCGTGCGAGGTTTCTGTGCTGTGTTCCCGAACGACGGAAGCTCATTCAACGCTCCTGATTTATTCTCACGACGCCAAGCCGCGATATGCTATTCGTATTTCCTTTCTCGGCTTCTCGCCGCGAATTGGCTCGCGCACGATTCGATCGCGCGCGCGCGCGTCAACATCGCGTTCAGCCACGCACGAACTGGGGATTATTGTAAATAATACGATCTAAATGTATGATTATCGATCGAGCGGATATATACGTGTTTACGTTGCATTTATTACGCTATTATAAAAGTGACGAGATTAATTTACGATAATGTAATTGCATTCCTATGCTCTATGCATGGCATAAAAGCATAACGCACACTTGTTGTTACAATTTCCTAAATAAAGCGCTTGAAAATCACTTCTCCCTCTTGTCTTCCGCATGACACGCAAGGTTTATTCTGCACGCCGCTCAGTTAACAATGAGAGGGGCGACGCGCGGAGTGACGATCTAAGCTGAGAATCGGATCTACGAGTCTCGGAAGTTACCTTTACCCACCGTAAGTCTCGTGCGACACCTTCTCGTAAGGGTATTCTTCGCGATACTCTTCCTCCAGATATTCCTGAATATCCTGATAAGGCTCGACTTTCAGCGAAACCTCTTCCTCGCTCTTTTCGATCGTAGATTCCGTCGACGCCTGTGGCGAATAACGCGATAAAACGTTTATACGACGGGATAAAGCGCAGATTATATGAAAATAAATTTTCTCTCCGGAAACCACGACCGAAATATTTGTATTTTGTTTGTATTGTGTTTTCATATTTCTTCGTATTTTTTCATCTTCCAAATTAAATAATTTGTTTCTTCTTCCTTCGCAACACCAACGACTAGCGTCGACTCTTATTGGTCCTGTTTTTTCTCTCTTTTATTTATTCAAGGCCCCTTAATATCGCCACGGGAAATCCGGCACTTTATGGGACGACTACTTTAAGAAGCACGCAACGAATTCACATTACCTCCTCCCGCAAGGCTTCTGCTTCCGGCGGCAATAATTCGGGATCGTAGGACGTGATACAACGCGCGCGCCACACCGGTAGAACGTCTGTCCCCGGCGAAGACGCCGCTTCCGTGGTAGCCTCCGGCTTCTCGCCCTCCTGCGCCTCCTGTTACAATAGCATATTCCCATGACGAATGATTGTAATTCACGTCGCGTTCGCAACGTCACCGCTGCGCTTTTGTGTCCTCTCTACGTTACAGACTAGAGAAGCGCCTGCTCCGCAGAGAGGATGACGTACGAAACGTGCGGTAACGAGCGAACAATAACGCATCGGCGGCTCCTCGACGGCTCTCTAGGTCAGAGCTCTCGCTCGATATACTCGCGTTTTAATTAATTTAGATAAGAAACGAGATATTCGTACCTCCCCCGCTTCCGTGACGACTTTATACTCAGCGGGAATCGAAGCCGCGTCGTAATGCACAGGACTCGCGTGTACATAATGACCGTGCTGCATGCACGTGTTCTCGAAAATGAAGCATCCGCGTCCGTACGGCTACATCGTGCGATAATATTTCTGCTTGACACACGCAAATTAACGCTGCCTCGAATTTCGAATATTTCGTATTCTACAAGCGAAGAGAGAAAAAAAAAGCAGGGATTTGCACGGGAAAAACAACTCCGCTATTGCAACTAAGTTCTCCGTTCTCCTGGGAATCAGACACAAAAACTCGGTTGCACACGGGAAAAATTAGCGTTAATTCAGAAATACTGTATTCTCATGTATAAGCAAAAATATATGGTCATATAGCTTGCAAGATAGATTCAACCTATAAATTTGTGATTTTTTGAGATTTTGTTACGAATGGGTAGTCTAGACGTTTTTCTACATAAAACAATAAGATACCAGTTTTATGGCCGCTTAAAATTAATTAAGAAACAGTTTTTATTTTCTATTAGTTGCATCATTTTTTACTAATTGCGTCTTTACCTATTTATTTCAAAGTTAAGCTTGTCAATGGACACCCTTAAAGAAAAGAAAATGGACCATGCTTGATTTCTTGAACGATTGTGAAGAACTTCGATGCTATTTATACTTTTTAAGTCATATATCAAATTTTCATCTTCATTCTTCTCGAAACATACTCTATGTAGGTTGGATCTTTCTTGCGTAACTATGGCCATATAAAATCTTACATGAAAACAAAACTTGCTTATATATGAAGAAATTCAATATAGTTGCGTTAAAAATATCATATTTCCATTATTCAAGGATAATTTTCATGAATTGAAATGAGAGGAAAAAATATTGAATATAGGAAGAACGATATCTTTAAACTGACACAATTTTTAGATTGAAGTTACCGTTCTTTCTATACATCCAATACTTTTTCTTTTCAATTCATACAAATTATTCTTGAATAACAAAAATTAGTGAAATATTTTAATGGAATTATCTCTTCATGTAAACAAGTTTCATCTTTATATTGTTTATATATATGAAAATACGAATCGTGAATCGATACTAATTTTTTCTGTGTAAAATGAGGAAGGAAGATTTCTGTAGGATGTTTCTACTCAGTTAATTGCTCTCAGTTGTCTCAACCGAGTTTCAATGCAGCTGAACGTTCGCACGAATGTTCAGTCGCGGTGACGGAGATATCGTCTCTCGTCACTGAGCTTTCACCTGGTCCCTATTCAGTCGCACGGATTAAGATACTTTTTTCCGTGTGGCAAATGCAAAGTTTCGTTCGACTTCGTGTCGCGCTCGCGTCCGGATTACTCTCTTTCGATCTGTGCCGCACCAGATTCGACCTCCAGGAACCGTGGAAACGGTGGCGTGGGTGAACGAGTTGGCCGGGTCCTTCCATGCGGTCCTTCATCCACGTGCCCATAAACTTCGTTCCCGTGTCGGCGTAAAGATACGTTCCCGCACCGTGACGAAGATCCTCCTTCCATGAGCCCTCGTAGATGTCATTGTTCGCGTAAAAATAAACGCCGAAGCCGTGTTTCGCGTCGCGCTTCCATTCTCCTACGGTTACCCACCGCGTTGTCCAAAATACGTTACCAAAATACGCGGCTCGAAGACGTTAGAAAAAATCTTAAAGCGTTCGCTTTACCACGACAGATCGGTAGGTCGAGGAGGAGGATCGCGATCCCCGTGGTGGTTATCGAGTCGCGATTCCTCGGCCAAATGCGAGGCCGACGGCGTAGAAGACGGGCGAAGAGAGAGCCAAGCGGAAAATTCTCACCGGGTCTCTTATGAGTTACGAGCTGCCAAGCTACGAGGCGACGAGGCCGCGAAGATGCCGAAAGACACCGTCGTCATCGCGAATTGTCGCGTGCGTGAATCGCGACTCGTGCACACACAGCTCCTCTGGAATTCCTGGCATGCACTGGCTCACTCCTTTAGAGATATCTGACGTGCGATATAAAAATAATTATATACGAATATATATATATATATATATATATATATATATATACATATATATATACACATATACATATGGACGTGTCGACCCACGTGCGTCCCGCGATTTTCTCGGGTCTGATTCGGCTCCTATTTTTGTACATTCTTCCGTACCTTCGTATCGCGTTCCGTCAGGGTACCAAAAGACCCCTTGACCGTATTTGTATCCCTGCCTCCAGTCACCGTTATAGCGAGCCCCATTTTTGAACGCGTAGACACCCTTGCCATGCCTAAGACCGTCACGATATCGGCCGACGTAAACGTCGCCGTTCGGCAGCAAAGCCTTCCCGCTGCCGTGCCGAGCGCCCTTCTCGTCCCTTTCGCCCTCGTACACCTGCGTACACCGTTCGTGGAGACGACTCGCAACGACGGCGACGATAACGCCGCGACGCGACGTTACGATGTATCGGAAAGCAGCGTGCGATGCCGGCGCGATTTTTCATTCGGTGAAAAAGACGTATTTACAGAGATGGCGATAACAGGCCTATTTTTTACAGCCGAATTATACAGAGAAAAACCCAGTGAACAAGAAACATTGAATCAATCTTTCGAAACATTGATTTTGTTGTGGATTTTGCAAACATTTTGACATAATATTTTGTAAACATTTTTAAAAACCGTCACTTGATGGTATAATATTCCTAAATATTAAAATCATAATATAGAAATATTATTTTTAATATTTAGGTCAAACATTGTTGGCAATGACGTTATGTACAACATTAGGAATTACATATTTGGAAAATAAAGCAGAACAGAATTTCTGATTCCTACGAGCAGCAAATTCGGTTCACAAGAACCAGAAGTTCCGTTTTCCTCTACCAAAACACGTTTAATTCGTTCAAGTTAATTCAACCAGTCTTATTTCTCCTTGCAGAGCTGCACTTATTCTTTTCCCCTTCAACATTAGGTTATGTATTTATGTTTATTTCACTCTAAAGCCAAAAGATGCGACGTAATTCGACTAAAAAGAAACAGGCCTGTTGTTTCTATATTACCCCGAGCGATCGAAGCTCCGTCTCCCCGTGGCCATCCGGTAGATCAACCGCCCGCGGACTTTCCATCTCGTGTTCTGTCGCAGCGCAGCAGCCGTCAGCCGGAATCTCGATTTCGCTACGATCGTCTGCTAATCGATCTTATACTCCGCCAATTCTCTTCTTACACAAGCGGTATACATTCTGGAAGAATAACGTTGTTCAACTAAAATCATTGAGCTCACAATCGTAACGACGAACAAAAGGCACAACTGAGATTCGTAATTAAACGTTTATTGATATACATATTTGAGTCAATGAGTCATTCGCATGCCGAAGTCGAATAACATTTTCTGATGTTTGCACTCCCCCTGTCTGCTCACTCGTCCAAACTCGATTTTGCGCCGAAAGTGCGCGATCGTACGAACAATCTCACTGAATCTTCCCGATGATGAATCTTCAACGGCGAGAATCAGGTCATCGGCCAGTGAGCAGTCCGATTAACGCTTGTTTCTCCTTCTCCTTTTTGCGCACGGTTTCCAGATTCCTCTGCTTCCAGGAGCTCTTCCGCAGCTTTATCGGCCGCGATCCCACGTATCGTCCTGAAACACGAGAGTCGTGTCTCAGGTGAGTAAAATACCTCGACAGACGGTCGCAGATGCTTCTCGCTACTTATCCTTACTACCGCTAGAAAATCAAAACTTACGCGTGGCAACAGGTGATTATGTTTTGAACTCCTAGAAGAAAATAATGGATAACTGCGCAGCCATCTAGTCACCGGAACAGAAGAAGCGAAATAGTGACTGCTTCTTGGCAGAACAGGTGACAAAAAGTGACCTCTCGGACATCGAAATAGTGACCAAAAGTGATATTTTTCATAAATTTCGAGAGACTAAGGCCGTTTAAGCAGAAAAGTAACATTTACTCTTACTTTCTTAGGATTTTAGAAATAAGACGTAAAGACCAAAGGAATTCTCGTAACGCGGGAGCAGCTATCGATCGCCAGAGTATCTCTATAAGGAAAATTTTAAAAATGTCTTCGTACACTTTTTCGTATAATAAACCAGTATTCTATTCTATTCCATTTTCGCGTGCGCCGTGCGCATTATTTCAAATTCACGATGTGCCCGGCTATCAGCTACACTTACACGTATATTATCATCTCGTACGCAGCCCCGTTAAAAATTCCACGCCATCAACAGCGGAAGAAAAAGGAAATTTAAACCGGACGCATCGCGGTGTAACGTATACGCGGTTGCATCGAAGTCCCGGGGACGCGCACGAACGCACAGGATATAATATTCGTCCGGCCAAAAATATCCTTTCGAATAGCCAAGCATCAATGAGAAATTCCAGCTGAGAGAACGCGTTGCGTCGAAGAGGCTCACGACCTCGGCTATCTCATTCTCTCCTTCGCGCGCTCGATCTCGATCTCGATCCCGATCTCGCCCACGCATCGAACTCTTTGTCATTCTTACTGCGCTTCTGCAAGAAACGGGCGCGAAACACGCGATACGGTGTTTCCTCCATTCAATCATGCCTCAAATCACTCTCTCACATGCACACAAGACCGAACGTCGCACCGCACTTAGCGGATAAGTGACTTTACTTAAACTTGTCTGGCATCCTGGTGATTTAATTCGCGCATGCAATGGGGAGAAAAATCCTGTTACGTTACTTCCATCAAATCTTTCATCATTACGTTTCGATCTTACGGCAAGCTATATTTAAATTCCAAGTCTCGAAATCAGTAAATGTAATTATTTATTAAATTCAATTATTTATTATCAATTGTATCAATTATAAATATATATATATTAATTACTATATTAATTAAATTATTTGATTAAATTCACGAGTCTCTACATCTTATTAATTCAGTTAAAGTAGAATTTAATTGATAAAATTTAATTAACTTTTTACAAGGAATTATCAAATTCAGATAGAAGTGAGACCGAGAGGAGACACGACGATATCTGGCTACGAATAATTTTCCGAATCGAGACAAAGCGCACGGACGAGCAGGGGATTGCGGATCAGCTGTGTGTAACTTTTGATCACTGGCGGTCGCGAGGTTGCACTGCGGGCCATCGATTAGCCTCGGGCCTCCGCGAGTACCTCGAGCGACCGCTCCTCATATATCCGTTCGGTCATGCATCATATCCGCGACCCCGTCTCTCGAATGCGCCGTGATAATACCCGCGTGCGGTGTATGCGAGTATCCTCCGTTCGTTCTTCGACTACTTGTTGCTTCGTCCGCTTCGTTTCGCGGGACATCGTTCGCGAAGCTGAACGTGCTCCTCTCACTCTCACTCTCACCCCCACCTACACCCCCGAGAGCTATAATTATATTAGAATTAAACCTATATATATATAGATTTCATTCTAATAATATAATTTACTTCTACTTTGACTATGATGATGCCTTAAATTTCCGTTTTCGCTATTTTTAGCGTCAAAACAGATTGTTTTTTAATACTTGTACAAATTTAATAATCAAAATATCGAAAACATGTCTAGCTTCAAGGTAATATTAAAATAAAATCCGTAGAATTCAAGGTTCGAGAGAGAAGTTAACGAATGTAGTATTACAGTAGATTTTTACTTATTCTAGCTCTTTTCTCTCCTATAGGACCTATTTTACAGGTCTCGTCTAAATAGGCGCAAATTGTCCTTAAAAGCGTCAAAGCGGGATGAAAATTCCGACTCTCTGTCGGCGCGGGGAAACTTCTGAGCTGGTATTTTAGGACATTTCGAGTCTCGAATAAGAGGCCTCGATTGCTTCGACGATTATGCGACGAGCGCATGCCGCGTTCTCGCGATAAACCTTTCCGCGGAATCCCACGTAACGCGCGCGATTCGGCCGCGACTGGCGAAATTTCGGCAAGATTCCCGCGCGAGATCATCACCGCCACGCACCGCTCTGCTGTGAGTCACCGATCTTTCGCGCGCGCGTTATATTTTATCGCGCATTAAGCGCACCGAAAACTGAGCGTACAGCTCGGCAAATGACTATAAATAACGGCATTTTACAACGTTCCTCGCATACCTTTTAGATACCGCCTCTTCGTTGTCTTCGCGTCCGAAATACCCGACCGATCGATCCGAGAGAAAAATCGCGCTATGCGCAGAGGGCTACGCTTTGTACTTGGTTCCGCGTCATGTGTCGACGCTTAACGCCGCGCAACCCTAACAACGAGCTTGCAGTCTCCGTGAAACGCAAATATAATAGTCGTAAAAAAAAAAAAAGCTGCCTTGGCTAAATGAATTTTATAAGAAGATAACGAACCGACTGATTAATTCGCTACTCGACTCGCGACTCTTTCCATTCGCGCGGAAATTGCGCCCCGTTCGAGCCCCGAGGGAAACTAAAAAGGAAGGCGAATGTCGTAATGACGATCGTCATGGCGATAACGACATGGCGATGTCGATGACGACAATAACTGGTGATGAGAGCAAATGTATAAAAATACAAGAAGAGAGCAACAACACAGAGAAAAAAACCACGAGAGACCGCAAATAATTGATTCGCGCAGCCTGCCGCCGAGCTTTTCGATTGGTTCTGGTAAAGAGGGTGGGGTATTACGGGAATTTATAGTAGGAGGTAGGGGGTTGTGTTGAATGAATAGCCGAACGCTTCGGCCTGTTGACGCACTTGGTCGCACCCACCCCGATGATCACCTGGAACCATATATACGGTTTCGCGATCGAGCAGCAAACCCGCCCTGAACCATCGCCTGCGAAGTGCAGCCGAGAAAAGTAGAAGCCGAACGAACGAACGAACGATCGATACTCCCGAAGGTACGTCTCTCTCTTTCTCTCTTTCCTTCTCTCTCTTACATGAAATTACGTATCTCTTTTTCCTTTCTTCTTCTCGCGTTGCCGCTTCCTTTTTTAATCACCCATATCAGCTATATCGCGTTCTGCCAAGTGGATCTACTGGTTCATTCTAAGCCAAGCCGAGTGTTATTTCTTTCCCTCATAATGCCACATTACAGCACACACACATGCGTAATATGAAATATTATGTACTCATGTACCGCATTGCTACTGCTTCACAATTCTAATTTCGTTAATTTTGTTTATTAACCAGCGAGTAATTCGTGTAACTTTCGTATAAGTTATTTTTGTCAATTAATTTTTATATTCATGCTTGCCCAAAAGAGGACTTGAACTCTTGGATATAAATAAACCACTCAATGAACACAAATTAACAACAAGATTACGTTAATGTTTTATCATTTCTCACTCAACCAGATAAGTGTAAGACAATGTTATATGTTATATGTAACAGTTGCATTGCTGAATTATAACATTATTGTAACGTTATTATTAGTCGATGTGTGTAACTAATTAACCAACTATCTATCTATGTGATCTTTTCTATCTTCTCCTCTTTAACTTTTCGCAAGAATCTCGAAGAATCTCGGTCACCAGCTACTATCACAATCGCCGACGGTTTCTGCGCGTTTGGTAGAAATTGTTTTTGTCAAATTTCGTATCGTCCCCCATCCCCTCCGACAAGCGGCGTGACATAATTTTCGCCGGGCATTACGGTCGGTTTTAATATAACCGTGACGCGCGACATTATCGTCCATATACGAAAATCGTATCGCCGCTAATTCTTAAATAACAATGTTTACTCACAAGCGGCGCGTAAACACACAGGCCGTGTAACTTCGCGATATCGAGCGGACACGGGCGAGTAATCGAGCCGGTGAGTAAACGAGAGAGCAATTAGGCATGAGAAGCATCGGCGTGCCGTCGGAGAGACCTCCGACGTGTTATTCGACGACGTCGATCCTTAGATCGACGCGCCTCACTTTTTCCATCCAAGTCGCGCGCGGCCACGCGTCAACGGCGTGTATTATATCGAATAGCGCGACGCGCGCGGAAAGAAGAAACATCAGGATTTCACGACGCATCGTATCGCGAGTATCTCCCGATCGTCGTCAATATCATCGTCGTCGTCGTTATCGCGCACTTTTTCATCTGTCCGCTCCGGCGCCAGGAGATAACGTTCTCCTCTTTCCTATCGCGACGTTGTTTTTCACGCGCCGCTCGTCACGTACGGCATCGAACGTGCGTGACCACACTCGCGGAGTGTGTATGTGTGTATGACTATACGTGTGTGTGTGTGTGTGTGTGATGTTAAAATTAGGCGGAATGTTGTATAAATAGTATCGGCCGTTGCAGAAATTTCGCAGGAGGAACGTAAACAGCGTACCTGCCTGTCAACAGAGCCAGCCGACCGTCGCGCGCGCGCGCGGAATGATTGATGATTAATGAGCGGCTCACGGTCAGGGTACGCTGGACACGCACGTGAGGGCGAAATTATAAGAAAAAGTTACAAAGTGATCTCTCGATGGAGTTTTCGAGCGGCTGCGTTTTGTTGAGAAAAAAAATGAGACTCCGAGAAATTTCGCCGATATGCGCGTACCGCAGATTCCAAATTTCGCTCGCGAGGAAACTTCACGCTGCCGAGACTCGTCGGTAAAAAATATGATAGACCGTCCCGAAAGAGGGAGGGGGAAGAACAAATGTTTGCGACGAACGCGAGGATCTATCGTGACCCTGATGAACCCGTGAACGCGATGAACGGACAAGATTCGAGAACACCGATTCGCGTTATTCCGAAATTCGCGATATCGGGATCGAGAGAGTGACTGTTCTTCTCGAACTTCATGATTCGTGCTTTGCGATATCGGTTGTACCGGTCGTACTCCCTCGTCTAGTTTTCTTTTCTCCCTTTCCAGAAAAAGACGAAACTACCGCAAACGGACGACGCGCTCGAGCACCACGAATACGAAATGGGATCGAAGATGGTTCCTAGTCTGCTCTCGGTGCTGATGCTGAACGTTGTGCTGTGGACGACGAGCATCTGTGCGGCGCCGTTATCAGACGTGAAGGATCCTCGGGTTGCCTCCGCACCTGTAACAAAATGCTCTTCCGACGGACAGTGTTGGGAATGGTTGCCGACATTGGAAGCGCACAGCGACACCGTCTTGTTGACCGACGAAGACGGCGACGACACCTCGAAGTAACGATCTTCCAATTATTTATTCCTTAACGCGCTACAATCGAACCGAATCGAAAAATCGCGTTGTGCGGCAGATTGCAGACCCGACGGCAAATCACGAATCCGGCATCCGAGTTTGCGTGGAAATCGAGGCAAGATGGAACGCTGGCAAAGGCGGGACAAGTAATTCGACCACCTGTGCCGACCAACAAGCAGACACCAGTTAGAATCATGAAGAAAGACGGGTTCGGCTCTCGAAACTGGGGTGCCGGCGGTATGCCTTTCTCCGTTCTCTACATGAACCCGCATTATTCGCGATCGAACGCCGCCACGACGAGATCAAGTGAGTGAACGACTTACTTTCGAAATTTCTTGGAGTGGCAAAATTCCATTCGAATAGCAGAGTGACAGCTGAGCCGCTCGAATTCGAGTGATTTGTCATTTTTCGTCTAGAGTGAATTTTCTAATCCGAATCATCGAGTGAATATTTCCGCGTGAAACTGAAGAATAAGTCCGATGTATTCCGCCGTCATAGGGACAAATTCACTCCTACCGATTGAAATATTGGATATGTCCATCAGAACGTTTATTTTACAATTGTTGGAAGTTTCTTTATGATAAGATTTGATTATTTTTCTAGATCTCCTAGAAAAGAATAATCCAATCTTAGCTCAGAAAATTGCCAACAGTTGTGAAACAAACGTTATATTGAACCTATTCACTCATACATACGGAGTCAGAATCCGCTTTAAGCTTGAGTGAAACATAGACCACATTCAATAGAGAAAATAGCTCAATGAGCGCTTAATAATTATTACTTCTGATTGGTACATTCCTCTGGATTGATCGAGAATCTAAGCTCGAGTCTACAATAAGTGCAGTAAGCTTTATGCCGTTAGAAATTAACCAATCACAATCGATTATTCCTCTTATATTCGATTATGATTCATCAATTTCTTACAGCTTAAAGCTGATTACACTTATTGTAGATCCGGGATAAAAGAATATTTCAGTCATAGAGATTAATCATTGCTCACTTAGCTTTTTTCTCTCTGAATGAACGCAGCCAGTAGGTATGTTCTTATTAGCTGAATTATAAGTTGCACCTTTTGCCGTTAGAATAAAGCAAGTATATGGCCTAGCGTTGAAAGGAAATGAAACGAAGTTCTAGTGCAGCACTGATTCAGCTGAAAAGAACAAGTCCATTTGCATACTTGCGATTTTTCACTTATCGCTTCGGATGAAAACACTTTTTACTCGCTTTGAGTGACATTCCATTCCAAGAAATTCACAAAACCCTTACGAGTATCGATATATGAGAACATCTTTTTTCATGTATCCCTAACATATTAAAAAAAACTACAGGATCTGAATTTCGGATTGGTACTGTGTCCTTCTTCGTGGATTGGTTTTCGACGTTTCGTGAACGTTTTGGTTCACTTTTCCGAGGAGAACAAATTTTCAGGTTCGGCAAATCTACGAAGAACGCGACATCAATCTGGAATCTCGATTGAACATTTCTCCTTATCGGGAAAGCCTCAAACATCATACTAAAAATCCATTTTTCACGACAGCCATTCAACGACCAGAATCCAGTGTGACGAGCAGAAGCTCGAGTTCGTCACCCGGAGAACGTCCTAATTATCAACGAAAGCGTCAACCCACCGTGCAACCAAGAAGACAGCCATTTTTTACCATACCGCAGCTCTTCTTATCGTACGGCTGGGACGCTTACGGAAAATAAAGATGAGAAACGGTGACACATTCTCGGAAAACTATCGTAACAAGAACCAAAAAGAGAGATAAAGATATGTGTATTAATATTCACGGTATATCTAGAAATGTGCAAGCAAGTAGCGCGAAGCAGTCGTCCATTTTCGCCATAACGTTAATCGATTCATTGACGATGATTCGAGATCTTAATTTTCATTTCTCTTTCCCTTTATACGAAGCTTCATTCATTGTACATAACAATATCGCGCGATAAAATTTTACTTGCTACACACAAACACACAGTCCACGCTAACTTAATTACGAACTTCCGAGTGTAACGGAGAAAAATATTTGTCTGACATGCACGAGCTGAGTCTATAATAAAACCAGATAATAATAAATACTCGACTCACCGTTCATTTCTTTCATCGCCTTAATAAAATCTTGCGGATCCTTGAAAGACACGAACCCGAAGCCCTTGGTTTTATTTGTCCGTTTATCTCGGACCACCTTCGCTTTCTGGAAACTGGGGTATTTGCCGAACACTCTCACCAACATCTCATCGGTGACGTCGTTTCCCAGGTCCCCGCAGAATATCCTGAAATCATCTTCGCAGGATAGATAATGTTAGAACACGGTTTTGAACATGCGATTTAAGTATCTTCTCTAAGATAGACACACTTGTTCGTTACTAACCTTCGTCCCACTCTAACAAAGATGGATCCTCCCACGTTTGGCCACCAGCCATTCTTATGATCTTCTTATTTTTCTTTCCTCTGCCCTTAGGATGAGTTTCCTCAGCGCTGGCATTAGCCATGATGGAGCTCGCTTTTCCTTGACTAATGGCTAATTCAGCTGCTGTGCTGACACCCTTAACTTTTGGTTTTTTCTTACCCTCATCATCAGGTATCTTTGTGTTAATAATTTGTTCAATGATCTCAGGATGGATCATTGGCGTCGACGTAGACTCATAGGTTTTTGGTGTTGCACTCAAACATGGATCCACCATATTCGACATGTACGCGTTACTTATTTGCGCAGGTGAAGAATATGTGGTAATAGGAACTGTATCTGCAACAATCACCATTGTGAAGCAAACGTTATAAAATCGCTCCTGAGTAGTGCGATAGAAAACATGCAGCTTGAGCTTACTTTGTCTTGCCACTTGTTGAGGAATTAACATCGGCGGTGGTGGAGGAGGAGGTGGAGGCGGTGGCGGTGGTGGAAAGCCGATCATCGGAGGAAACGCCAATGTCGCGGCAGCAGCGGCCGCGACTACCGGCGTGGGTAGTTCATGTTGCTCCAATTGCCTGGCAACTTGGTTGTACGTGTTTGCTCCTATCACCGGTCGTACGATTGGTGTTACAAGCTGCCCCCCAATTTCAGCTTCAAATCTGAAATATAAATATAAATTAGTTAAAATACAACACAAATATATCGTCAAATTTACATCGATGAGAAGAAGTATAGAGAAGAAGGAAATACGAAAGTTTTTGGAGAGAATCAGAAGTTAGGTTATGTTAATTTTTTTTACGCGTCCTACCTGTTCATTTCATCTTCCATTTGCCGAAGTTTGTCGTCCATATTTCCAAATCTTACTCGTTAACAAAATAATTTAACTGTTTAGTCTATATAATTTTATTTGTGTAGATAAAATTTGTGATGAACACAGTAAAACACTTGTCTTGAATCTCTCTCTCTTACTCTTTCTCTCTTTCTCTCTCTCTCAAAATGGTTTCAGGCGGCTTCGGAGCACTTCCCCAACACCAATTCTATCTTATCTAGAATTATCTTCTCAAAGATTTACGTTCGAGAATGTCTAGTACATCACTCGTTGATGCGTTCAAAAACTAATTGGAGCGCCTGCAGAATGTCTACCAATCACACTAGTCTTTTAAGGATTAAAGTCTGTATCCACGATGCTAGGGCATCGTGCGTTCTTTTTGAGCGCTCACGTGCTGTAAAGCCCGTATCAGGCTATGCATTAGAGATTGAGATTGAATTGAAATTTGACCAATTAGTGCAAAGTTTATTAAATTTCATTAAATATGAATTCAGTTAACTTTGCACTGATTAGTCAAATTCAATTCAATCCCCAATCCGTAGTCTGATACGGAAATTAAACCGCAAGAAATTGACAAATCACAATTCAAAGTGAGAAAAATTATCGATTGTAATTAGTCAAGATTGACAAGCAGATTGACAGTAAAATTTAATCAATATCCCACATTAAAACTACAGTCTGTGTCTGCGTTCAGTTTGTGTTTTAGCGATGGAACCTGCCGACAAGATACCTAAGCAGATTGACAACAGAAATCTCGCAAAACCTGCCGCCAAACTTGGCGCGCAGCAAAATTTGTTCGGTTTCTGCTATCAATCTGCAGTCAGATCGTTACAGGCTCTGCTCAGTTTGTCAGCAGACTGTGTCGCATTTCTGACAATAATTTGGCAAAATAATCTGATAGAATAGATCCTGTGTTAGATTTGTTGCTTTTCTGCCATCAAAAATTTGCAATAAGCTCTATTCGAAATCTATTCAGTGCAGATTTAGCTATTTGAGTTCATTTTTATGAAACAAAAACATATTTTTATTAAAAACATAATTATTATATTACAGTTTAAGAATTGCAGGAAAAATTTTCAGTCGTTAACTTAGCATTATTATTTAAATTCTTGTTGATTTATAGGAATACTTGTTACCTATTACCCATATATTTCATTAATAATAATCAATTCAATATTATTTCGTACATGACATTTATGTAAGACATTTATGTAAGAAAGTATCGCTGTCAAATATAAAATTATCTTCTCGGATAACTAATAATGAATATATTATTCATTCGTGATGTCTGGCAATTCCGGCGCTGTGCCGTTCTCGTAGTACTGATAACTTCTAACACCCTCGTGTGCCCTGATGAGATAGTAGTTGGTCGAATTGACGTCGACGTGATTGTTCTGGAAGTTCAGCAGTTTGTTGACGACGCACCAGAGATTGCCGCTCTCGTCGAAGGCGAAGCTGTCCGGCCATTGTACCAATATGTGATTCCACGTCAGACACTGACCAGTGATGAAGGACGGTGAATTTTTAATGTCCCATCTGGAGATGGCGTTGTCGGGCAACAGGCCGAAGTAAAGTACGTTTTTGGCTGATATTATCATGCCGTCCGTCTGAGACACCCTCCGTCCGAGATTACTCACGTAACTATCGATATTCGCGGTGTTGTTCTTCAAAACGGACACCGGGATCGAATACAGATGGAAGGAAGACAAAGGCGTGTAGTAGACTTGTCTGAAACACCGTGTCGTTTCTTGGAAAATCTCACGTAGGATTTCTAGGATAATACGATCGCTCGATGTCGTTAAGAACCTCGACGTCATCCGAGTCGAAATTTTAGATCTACGTGAACGCCAGAACCGCAGCAATTTTTTTCTCCCAGAATCACGAAGGTCACTTTGGACCCACCTCGTTTCTTGTACTTATTCGTAGACTTTTTTGAACTTTATGATATTATTTAATTGTTTTATGATCAAAAAAGCTCCCCAGTGATGAAAATTCAAAGAAATGGGAAAAAAAGAATCTATAAGTAAAAAATGACCCAACCACGGTTCTAGTTAAGTTTACTTAATTTTACATCAAGTCTTCAAGTGGAGAAGAACTTCCCATTTGTAGCATCAAAAGAGTAATAATAATGTTCCTTCGATGCTACAAAGAGAATTTAGGTCTCCCGGGGGGGGGGGAGTTTTAAATTTTACGCTAAAAACTTCCTATTTGTAATATCCAACAAAGGGAGCGCAATAAAAAAAAGAACCATCGAAGATTTAGTCCGGATCTATAATAGATGTGGTAAGCTTCAAGTCGTAAGCAATGAAACCGTAAAATTCGTCGATATCGAAGGAAACGCTAATTCATACGTAACAATACCTGTCGCTGCTACTCGCTGGCGAAAGTGCTATACCATCCACCGGCACCGGCGATGTCATGTACTCGTTCCCTACTCTAAACCTAACCGCCTCGGGTTCCGGCATCATAGACGACTCGTGACGTATCTTCCACGAGGTGTTATTTTTTAGAGAATACACGATGATGCCGTAGTCCTCCTCGCTGCTGTCGGTGATGTACGCTATCATGCCGTCCTCATGATCGAGAACGACATCGTTGAGATAGGCGACACCGCGACGAGCCACATGATCGGGGAACTCGTAGGTGCGCAGGATCTCGCCGGCGTTCTCGAGATCGAGGATGACGAGACGCGGAGGGCAGCCGAAGGAGAGATTGCCGAAATTCGGTCGGCCGGTGTCGAGTGCCCACATGCGCCCCTTCGGATCAATCTCCATGCTGTGGACCAGCTGGAACGCGTAGCAGTCGCCTAGCTTCTGCATGGCCCAACTGGGGAAGGGCTCCAGCTTAGGTGCCGTTACACCGTTCACCGGCTTCGCCGAGGTGACGCCGAGCGTCACCGGCGTGCCATCTTTCCATCGCGGCATCGCCAAGTACATCCTGTCCTTCCAAAACTTCACGGTAGTGAAGAAGTTGTTCTCCGCGATGTAATCGCCGAGTGCGAGGGCGTGCCGCCGCTCCTCGTCCGACGGCCACTGAAAGTCGAACGTCTTCCATTCGAAGACCACTTGAAACGGCTCGTGGTGCATCTCTACGACGACCACGAGAGCCAGCAGTATCAATCGCTTCATCCCGCTGCTGAAATGTCAAAGCCTCCTTTCACTGACGCGGACGATGCATACAGTACATTCGAATTCCCATTTACTTCACGTTTGATCACCTTTTACCTGAACTGGTCCGAGAAATTTGCACACACCGAAACGTAGAATCTCGTACGTACGCTTAATATGCTTCAACGTGCGTGTAAATTTCTTGAATTAGTGCTGTGAGTTGCGAACGTGAACCCAAAATTCCAAGTACAATTTATCTGCGACCAGAGCGCTAGATAAGTGCGAGAGGAACGTTCGAAAAAATTCGAAAGAGACACGAAAGAGTACGCGAAAAAAAAAAGCGCTAAGTATCCGGGACCAGAGGCGCTAAGAAAACGCCTAAAGACGCGATATATATGCAATACTAATGAATTCTACCGTCCGAAACACGCCAATCACAACACTAATGGCTAAGTCCGTCCCGTCGTTTGATCTCTAAGAAGCCGATGTAAAATGCGAGCTTGCGACCTACCTTAAGTTTACGACAGCGGAACCACGAAAATCCGTCAGATTCCGATCGCTTGACACCCAACGTGAAAAAATTAAAAAAAAAAAACTGGAATGTCGAGACGATCAATAGCGAACAATACGATTTGGCTCTAACTCAAGTTCGTGGCTTTAATCCGGAAAAGGGCAACATTATCGATACTCTGCTCGTCCTCCGCGTCGTCTGCAACGACCGATAGCTCATCAGCGCAATAAGGCTCGAAATACCAGCAATCGTCAGCCAGAGTGATCGCGGCGATGGTGGAGACTCAGAAGCACACGCAGGATCAACGCTCGACCCTACATCGACCGCGATCACTCCCTTTTATGTAACAGGCGTAAAGACGCGAACCAATTATCGCGCACTTCGGGCGTCGCGATACTCGCGAAACGCAATTTGGCACGTAGTGCACGCTATCTTACGCTACTCATTCGTCTTTCTCGGGGGCATCCTTTCCTGAAGCCTATTTACTTACTGGACCTATTTACTTACCTCGGCGATGTCCCCCGTAAGAATTTCACTTGTATTCGATATCTTTTGTTCGTTTGAATGCTTACGTTTCGGATTTATATTCACACTGAATCCTCAAATATTGACGCGTCGTCTATTTATGCAACGTAAAATTTACATTATCGTGGAATAAAAGATATAAAAAACAGATCATGCGATATTGCTGAGTCGTCAATGATAAATTTTAAATATCATTTAATTACGTACTGCTGTCAGTTGGTTTAAAAATAGCGCAGTTCCTTAAATTAGCGTTAATGCTTCCCATTCGCTGGTGGCCCCCACTAATTACAATCGCCCCTTGCATTCGTGTTAATTTTATTCTGCGGGATCCCTTTTCTTCCGGTCAGCCACGCTCCCTCGCGCGGCTGAACCTCCGGTTGCAAGTAGCAATTTGTTGACAATAGAGAATCGGAAAAATTGAAATAAATAAAAATTATTGTTACACTCAGCTTCTCTAAAATCTTTTCAGCTGTTTACATTGCCGATATATCGCCATGATAGTTTGCCACATTCTCAGCCGTGCAGCCAACATATGTGCAGGAGGAAATTAAAACCTTCAAATTTCTAGTACTTTCATAACTATATGTGTGATCGATAATTAGACTGGGTATAATTTTATGACATATAATTAAGTTACATCATAAAGCTGGTATTACATGCGTTGTACAACGAGCATTGTCGGATGTGTCAATTGGCTGTCGGATAGAGAATTACAAGGATCCTTAAATTTTTCTCTAGACATCCTAGAAATTCCCTATCCGACAGCCAATCGGTACATCCGACAAACTCGTCGTTCGATTCATGTAATATTAGCTCAAGCACATTTTAGAAATGAAAATCAGCGCTCTCATTGGATATCACTCATCGCTTATCCCCTGCCGCGCCCAATGTGCAAAACCCATAATTCTCATTGGACACGGGATGCGTTTCGAAACTCATAAAAGATAAGTGTAGTAACCTTTCTGTCCACTAGTACAGGTATTGCTAAAAATCGTATTACTTGTCTTCTGAGAGGGGAGTTCACGTTTTCCGATTGCTTCGTACTCGTTTCACTTAGCGTATAGTTCACTGCTTTGTATGCATTTCATTTCTTTGCGTATATAAATACATATAAATCTTGATTTACTATATTGCAACAAACGACATTAAATTATATTTTTCAGAAAAATAACGTTTTTGTGAGAATCTGTGTTAAGTTGGAGATTCAGTTTGGTTAAAATGGAAGCTGTTGCGGATGTATGCACAAAAGATACTGTAAACTCAAACCATGTGTCTACTCAAACACAAAGTAAATTAATTTCTAAAGTATATTGATTACACAAGTATATTGATTTATAAAGTAATTATACTTTCCATGAAATGTTTTTATGAATATTTATGAATATTTGTATAATTAGTATCTAAATAAAATAAATGAAATAATAAACATTCAGAATCATATGTAAGTTTATCTAATAGTTAATTATTAAATGGTACTACTAGAGATAATTTTACATTATAAATATACATATACATAAAACATGAATTGAAAACAATGTTTTCAAAAATATGGGCTACTTATATTTGTTATTCATACTGATGTATTCTACATTTGTTTATATCAATAAACAAGTTTATTATTATAAGTGCTTTTTATTATAAATAAAGTGAACGTTAAAAGCAGTGCCTGTTATAACAAAATTTTTTTTCGTAATTTTTACACGGCTTGAACTGAGCATTTTGGATACTATTTATAAGAATTTTTTTATTTGCATTGATATATTTTACATGATTATATATAGCCAGCCCATTATTTTGGAAATATCCTATACATTTCATTCAATATACATAATATTATTTATTTTACAGATCTTGGAGATCAAGTATCCTCCCTTGGTGCAACCGTTCAAGATCCCGACATAAACATGAAAAAAATAATGTTGGATGGAGAAAAAACTGGGAATCAGAATACTATAGAAATTGTAGGTGCACCAGCAGATGCACAGATAGATGCACAAGTAAATGTACTGGCAGATGTACATGAAAATATACAGGCAGATGCACAGATAGATGCACCAGCAAATGCATTGACAGACGTACAAGAAAATATACAGGCAGATGCGCAGATAGATGCACAGGCAGATGTACAGATAGATGTACAAGGGAATATACAAGACAGTTTACAGATAGATATAGAGCCAAATACGCAGGTAGATACACAACTAGTTGCACAGGATTTGCAGTATCGTTCAAAGGTAGATGAAGTGTTGTTATTGAGTGGCACCAGTGATAGTGAGAGTGATTCCAGTAGCAGTAGCACAAGTGACAGCGATAGCAGCAGCAGTAGTGATAGCAGCAGCTCTTCAGACAGTGATAGCGATGACTCAGACGACAACAGTGACACTAGGTATTCATAGTTGTCTTTCCCTAGAAAGTAACACTATATGATATATATATTCTTTTGATTTACGAAAATGGAAATGTGCAAACTCTGATATATGTTTTGGGCACTTTTAGGAAAAAGGAAAAAAAAGTAACTTATACGTTTAAGCAAGAAAAGGTACAAAGTGAATTGGATAGTCTGCCACCGGTTGAAGATTTGAAGATCAGTGTTCCAGAGGACGACTGTGTTCTGTTTGGCGAGGTAATAATGTCTTAAGACATTACTTGATTCATTTCTGTGTACCCAGTACAAAAAAGTACCAAATACTTTAGGTCGTTGGAATAGTGGAAAAACAGATAATTGTAAAGCCGAGACCTGACAAGCCTGCGCTTCGAGAGGAAACTGTTCTGTTCGTAGACCAGGGCCAGAGAACGCTCGGCAAGATATTCGATTTGTTCGGCCAAGTTAAGGAGCCATTTTACACCATACGTTTCAACAGCGACGAACACATACAAGAGAAAGGAGTCACAGTGGGCATGCTGGTTTACTACTGCCCTAAGAACTTGAAGTACACGTTTTTCGTCTTCCTGTCCGAAATCACGAAGTCAGTGTCTCGGATATTTCTCTTTTTCTTCCGCGAGTCTTGCATGCGCGCGCTTGTAATACGTTACAAAGCAAATCTTCCACCCCGTAGGATCAAAGCCTGTGACTCGAACGACGGTTCTGGTGGCGAGCATCCGGATTTTTCGGACGACGAGGAGGAGAAACGTTACTACCAGAAGTTGTCCAAGCAGCGGAAATACAACGCACCGAATTCGGGCGGTGGTGCGCGGCAATCGTCGAAACGTAGGTGCACGTCGAGTAAGTGCCGCTCTTCGTTCTTGTTCCGCTAGTTAACGCAATTGTTACGACCAGTTATGCCCGACGTATGAATTTGTATATTAGAAGAAGAAGCGTGCTTTCTCTTCGCACAGGTACAAAGATGATTAACACCGATCGATCGTTTTTTTTCCAGATGCCGCTCACAGGTCAAATAATTCTATTCCAAGTACTCCAAGTACGTTCACTTCGAGAGCTTCCAGTCCAAGTTCGTTCACCCCGAATCCACCAATCGGCCGGCCGAGAGGTTCGTTGAACAGACATTATCAACCCCCGAGGCACAGTGAGTACGGGAATTGGCCGCCCTGGATGAACAATCAGTTCAATCAATGTAACATATACCGGCCGCCTTACTATAATCCGAGGAACCCACGTTACATGCACAACATGGCGCCACCTTATCAAAGAGCATACGCCGCACCATCTTTCAACGTATCGCCATCGCCGCCACCGCAGTATATTAATTATAACGCAGGTGCTGATATGAGTGCACAATATGGATACGCCTCTCAGTACTCGGACCCATCCTTCGGCGGTTACGCCGCTTTCGACTCTTCGTTGTACAATTCGAATTATCTCGTCCCGTCTTCATATTCCAACACTCATGCACATCTCCCGTCTGTGTCACTATCTCTACCGCCTCCGCCACCTCCCCCTTCTGCACCTCCGCCAACCACTTCAACAACGACTTCGACGATTAATAAAACATAATAATTGCTATAATTAATTTAAGTGCCTCGGGTCTGTACACGTTCTTCATCTTCTTTCTTCAGATAACGAAGTTAGTAGTAAAGTTAGTTAGTAAAGAAAGCTGTGAGCGGGACGAGAAAACGCAAATTCGAGTAAATACAAAATTGAAGCAAAAAAAAAAGAAACAAATTCTATAGTAAATATTCTTTATATTTTAAATATTCTTTATGCATGATATGAAATAATATTTTGATTTTCAGTAATTTTCACATGATCTAGTTTATGTCACATATATATTCATTTTGAAATTTTATAAAGCTTAGATTGCATAACGGTTTTGGAAGAATAACTGAATAAAATGTGTAATAAGTCTTGGTCCACAATCCTTCTTTAAACCATGAGCCGTAAGAAAATTATGATTAACCACATTCGATTATTCTTGTAATAATCGATAGTGTTTGGTCAATTTACTTACGGCTCATGGTTTAAAAGGTTTAAAAAAGGATTGTAGACCAAGACTAAGATCTCCACTGAAGCGAGATTATATACAAATGTGTACAATCAGAGTCATCAAGTTAGTATATCTTTAATTGTCACGTGTTTTGCAAGGACTATTTGAAATATAAAGAATATTACTAATATATATATTAGTTGTGTACAAAAAATATATAATAATATATATTTAAATATATATATTAATCTCTAAGGCTGTGAGATAGCTTGTAGTTTTACAACTCTCTCGTCCGGCCGAAACAGGAATAACGAAATACTGCGTCTGTTTATCTTATGCTTGTCTTACTGTTCATTTGATCAAGAAGTCGTGTTTCTTTAACTTGTTTAAACAAGCCTCCTCTAGTCTCTCTTCCGCGATTGTGATATCGTTCCTTATCTCTTGGATGAGTTCCTCTACAAAAACATGCAATGCATCAAATCAATCAATTTTATAGCGACACTAAATTATTCCGAATTCTCGGGATAATCGTTAATTCATTTGTATATATACTTTATACTACCGTATCGTTTTTACAGTAATTATTGCATCGGATACACTACCTACGGACGAGAAATCCTTTTCCGGTCGTATGTATCCGACGATAATCATTTTAAGCTCCTCACCGTATAAATCACCTTGGGATTTATGTAGCAGATGAACTTCCTGCAGTACGATTCAAGTGAGATACTTCTCGCATGATGCGATATATTTTTATAATCTCATTCTGTTTATATAACACTAGAACCGCGGCTGAGTGATTTTTGAGCCACTTGTAGATTTTTCCCTATTTTCTTTTTATTTTCACTTTTACCACATTTTATCATCACTAAGTAAATTTTCCTTATCATAAAACGGTTAAACAATAAAGTTCAAAAAAGCCCACGGATAACTGCAATGAAAGAGATGAATCAAAAGTGACCTACTCCACGATTCTAGTAGTCCAAATTGCTGCGGTTTTAGTGCTAAGCGACAATCAAGCATGACATTGTATTTTATGAAAAATGTTTGTAACTATTGAGAGAAAAATATTTTCTTTTACACATCGTCATTTGTCGTACCAATGATTTCTTCTCGTTCTTGTAATACGGATTCCATCCTATACTTGCGACCATTTTATAAATTTGTCTGTGTAAGGAGGCCCAGCCATAGTAAATTCCAGTGACTAAGTCCTTCGGCAGATCCTCGACCACGGATTCCGGAAAGTTAGCTAATGTTTGAATACATTAATCAAATTCCCTCAACATCAAACAGTAGTAAGGCTCGAATTTAGATATTTCGAACATATCGCGTTTGTAAACCAGCGTTGTTGTGGGAGAAAGGGGGGAGGAAATAATTACGTTTCAATTTTTAAGACGGCAAAAAGCTGTCGGAAAAATTATAAAACCGAGTGATGACCGAGAATCTAGACAGCAAAAATGTTCGAAAGACGTAAAGACATCTAAAAGATTTTGAACGTCTCACTGAATATAAATTCTACAAAAAAAAAACAATATTTTTTTCTTTCGAAAGGATGATCCTGATGAAAGAGTATATAAAAAAACTTATCGAATATGTACATCCTCCCTGCTATTCTTCGTAATATTTTTACATTAGAATAAGTGTATTATTTCGGCCGCGTGAAAAAGGAAAGACGCAAAACAATGCGATAAATATAAACCGAAGCTCGAGCAGGGAAGCTAACGTTAAAAAGTAAACGCTGAAGACACCGTTGTGGAGGTCGTAAATCGATAATCGGTCCAGTATTTATTATTAAAAAGATAATAACGCGCGTTTCTCTCTTTCTCATAAACGGATATATATCTTTCGAATCGATATATATCTCTGTCAGTCCGCGACCAATACGGCCTATGTTTACTTTTCCATTTTACGATTCAAAATTCAAATTTTGGCGTCCGTTCACGGACGAGCGGACTCCGTCGATTTGAAATGAATCGTGCGCATAGTTGCGGGAGATCCTAACCTGCACCTATTCGAAATCTTCGATAATCGTCGGTCTCGATCGTCACTTAAAATATCAATTCAAGGGAGAGAAATGAGGTCTAAGGTTTGTATTTACGGTCATCGGTACTCGGTCAATTGATCTCCTTTGTTTCTTAGCTTTGACGGTTAGAACTCTTATCGGTGCGAAAAACTGGCCGTGAAGATTTAATTTCAAATATTTTGCAATTGCGATGCAATACTCATAGAGTATGTTACCTGTCGGAATGCCGAGAACTTTCGAACCTCTGCCAAAGCCTTTAACGATGACTCCGGACGTGAAGTGCGGAAGTATTTGGCTGCCCATAATTCCCGCTTATTCCACACTAGCTAGCGTTATTTCGCGTAATGGGTTGGAAAGGTCATCGGTTAACTCATCGACGAGGGAAATATAAGATTGATAATATGACGTGGCGATTAAGTAACTTATCAACGATATGCCGATTTCGACCTTTATGTTCGATGATAAGATGACAGTTTCACAATAACGGCTGTGAGAACGCTACCAAATTACGCGTCTTCTCGTGAAATTTCGCGCGATACCCATGATATTTCGTAAAAAAATCATCCGTGCGTTACATTTTGGCGCATAGCATAGATGTATAATAACAAAAAGCGTCGTCCGTCACTGTAAAAAGATTTGGCAACTGTCGAGGACGACGATGTTTTTGAGGTTAGGACTATCTGTGCGAACAACCACAGTCGTAATTGTATAATTACACGTTATTATTATATGT